ATGCATGCAGATAGCTTTAACAACTCTGATGGTATATGTGATCATCCGATATCATTACCGGAAGTGAAACACGCAATCACCCATATGAACTGCGGCAAAGCCGGAGGACATGATGGACTAGTATTAGAACAAATAAAATTTGCTAGTGATACTATGATGAAGATAATTGCAAATATGTTTGATAATATCATTGAAAGCGAAAGGTATCCAGAACATTTTAAATATGGTATTGTGATACCATTATTTAAGGGAGGAAAGCGAGATAGATTACTAATGGATAACTACAGAGATATAACTTTAACGCCTGTCTTACAGAAAGTCCTTTAGAGTGCTTAAGAAAGGTCATGAAATCAACTTTCCTCACAAATTACAGCAGGGTTTTAGAGAACAATGCGGTAGCATTACAGCTGCCTTCATTGTGAAAGAGTCAATTTCTTACTATATTGAAAAGAAATCAAAAGTATAGGCAGCTTTTCTTGATAACCAGAAAGCGTTCAATTCTGTATGGATAAAAGGATTAACGTATAAAATATATAAACTAGGGTTCAATGGCAAGTTCTGGCGACTTTTATTTGATTCGTTTATGAATGTTAAAGCATCAGTGTTTTTTTAAGGTAAGCGTAGTCCAACGTACACCATTGGACAAGGTGTCGGTCAAGGTCGAGACCTCTCTGCTTGGTGCTTTCTTGTAATGATTGATGACCTTGTAAGTGAGTTAGAGAGTCGAGGTCTTGGGCTTAGGATAAAAGACATACATGTGCCTTGTGTTTTACTAGCTGACGATACATTAGTATTGTCAACCTCTATAGGTTTACTCCAAAAAGAATTAGATGTAGTTAATTTATACTCTACTCGATGGCGTCTTAACTATAATTCTACAAAGAGCTCTTTGGTAGTATTTCAATCCGAACGTCGACGAGTACTTTTAGATGATTTTAGACATATACGATGTAAAATTGGTTCTGATATAATCCCAATTACATCACAGAAAACTTACCCTGGGATAACGTTTACTAGTAACTTGCACTCAGGAAGTAGTATAATGGACGCCTGTGTAAAAGGAAGAACCAACTTAAATCCACTTCTAAATATCGGTATTCGCCCCAACGGACCTAATGCCGTAGCAAGTTTTAATATTATCAAAAGTATTGTATACTCAGGTATGTTGTATGGATGTGAGCTTTGGAATTCATATACTAAACGAGCTGTGGAAAAGCTGGAACGCACACAGAGATATGCATGTAGACGTTGTCTTGGTCTCTCCAAAACCTCCTCGGCAGTGACTGTTCAATGTCTAGGATCATTTGATATATGGAGCGAGAGACGAAAACTATTGTTTTGGAACAAATTGTGTTTAGGAAGTGCTAAGTTTTTATGGAAAACGCTTTTTGTAATTAGATTGTGCCAATTTATGTATAGTGGTTCATCATCCGCTCAAGCAGGATTTCTGCCTGATATATATAACATAATGGTTAAATTTCGTATAGAGTCTTTCATTAATGATTATATCTTTAATACATTCGTACCACCGACAATGTGTTGGAAACGTTTCATTAATAACTTTGTATATGACTTTTATTTCAAAAGATGGAAAGATAAACACGTGAAGAACTCAAGAGATATGCCACTAACCACAGTGAGCAGGGTATGAACCCGATATTGTATTTAAGCACCAAACGAATTTGGCAACAATTAGTATGGTATTTAGTAGAATAATTTAAGTACTCGTTATCCAGCGAAAACGAAACAGTGAAATGTAAGATTTGTAATAAAATAAGCAGTGATATTATGCTACATTTTATTCTTGAATGTCCTGGTTTATACCTAAGGCGGGATAAAATGATGGATGGTGTTGTAAATGCGATTGAGGTTTTGTCATATATAAAAATTTTCAGAACTAAGCATTGAAGATCAATGTAGTTTTTTGCTTGGTGATCGCTCACAAGTATGTTTGACTGATATAGAATGGGAAACTCTGATGATAAACATGTCAAGAAATATCAAAGGTATGGTCTGTGAAATGGAAAGCCTAATATTATAGTGGTTAACATATAATGTATATCTAAAGGTGCATTCGTATTTAAATCGATAATGTAAAGATTATGTTGTAAGTAGTTTAAAATTATGAATTGTACATGTAAATGTAATCATAAGAATATCAAAAACATTGCATATATACTTTCCAATGTATTTACATATAAAATACGACTTATTTTGTAAAATGTTTTGACAAGATATGAAATCTCTGCAAGCCGGAAATAAAGAATTTCTGCCTGTCTGATATGGTCTTTATGTTTTTAGAGTTTCCAAATAGCTTCCTTTCCAGTTAAGGTCTTTATGCCCTATATATCCAGGTACATTTTAATAAGCTTAATTCTGATTATGACTTTGAATTTATTGTTCATATACAAATTTTCGAACAACATATCATTAAAAGTTGGGCCCATTTATTTCCAAATCAATATATATGACTTATATATATTCAGGAAACTATACATACGTAATTATTTCACATTTTTCAACACGACGAAGAAAACTATGTACCATAAAACCCAGATTACGTGTGATGATATCTTTTGTAAGTGTATAACTTTCAACTTTTCTTCAATTAGTTAGCCAGATTTCATGAGATGTGACAAAGGACGCCTGCCATTATATCGATTATAGGTGTAGGATATTCACTTTGTAGTAATTAATACTGGCAATGATAGTTGACTACGTGGCGTGCTTTACCGCACGAAACTGACAACTGTCTTTATAATATCACGGGTAGGCATTAACTGATTTTTGGTATGTATAATACTTATGAACAGTGTTAAACTTTAAAAAAAATAGTAATATTGATCCATTTGCAGTCTGTTTTACATCAATTTGGAAATCCGCATTACTTGTGGTAACAGTGTTATATAGCGCAATCATATAGGTTGCCGTTATTTGCTATCTTCAGTTTCTTTAAATAACATACGCGTTTAAATAGTATATATAAAAGTATATAGAAAGAGAGTTTTCATTTGATATGAACTTTTATGAAATGAGTCTTGCCGCGAGCCTTGGCAGATATATCTATAAAGATTTAATTGCATTCATATCTTAGAGTTATAAAAATACCCACACGAGAAGGTTTTTTATCTAGAGTCTATTACTTAATGTAACAACAACAGTAAAAAAAATGTAAAATCGCGTTTTACATGGGAATTAGGTTCATTCGGTGAAGCGCCTGCTTTGTATACTCGTTAGTGAAGATCCGTGGTGCATGGTTCGATCCCTCCCAGAACAGAGCATGAGTTTCTCATGTACCCATGCAAGACACTTTATCCATAAAAGTTACTCTAAACAGCACATGGTGGGCCTCCTGCGTGGTGATTAATGAAATATCTATCAGCAAACCAGTCGAACTCTGGCCCTGAGTGTCTGTTCACAAGCGATATACTATAGTCAAACAACCAAACAAACGACTCGAGAGAGACTATGATCTTTCGAGGCATGCGTTCGTAAAATAAAATAACAAGTCGTACTCGTTATCAAACCTAGCGTCAGACAGCGGGATATTTGAATTGCCCTTTGTATGTAGTCCCAATTTTGACAAATCGCTACGAGTTAATAATTAAATGAAACTTTCTTTAAATTTCCTTACAGCCAATTTCGAGACGGATTAAAAAGCAAATATTGCAACATTGTCGCAAGAAATCAGTTTTTACCGTTACTTTCCCAACCAAGCTCAGTGATGATTATCACACCCATTAAAGAATCCTGAACATGCCATACGTTTTGGGGGATTATCAAGAGGAAATAAAAGAATAAACCGTAATGACGTCATGTCAATTCACGCCTATTATTATTATTATTTTACATTTTAGTAGAACCCATGAAATAGGATTGACATCAAAGTCATGATTGCACGTAGAACTTCACGTATTTCCAAATGATTAGGTATATTTTCATTTAAGCTCACATAACAGAACCATTACGATGTTTTATTATTTCCAACTTCATTTTTGTGAATTTTGTTACGTGAACATGTGATATTCACTTTCCATAAAAACAAAATACGAGTGAAATGATACAGAAACTTAGAGTTTCTTTCAGTCAGTGCAACTGTGCCTAAAATGAAAGTAGACTGAATAGTTAATCTGTCTTCTTGCTTGAAGGCAAGTTTATTTTGTCGTCGTCGCGGACCGGGACAAAAAAGTCACGTATAGATTGTCAGAATCCTTCGGGCTATTCTAATCAAAATACGCAACTAAATACAGTCCACATTAAACTTCCGGTATTTAGCATAGGTAGCAGTAAACAGTTATTTTGCATTTTTCCTGAAATTATTTGTCATGTTTGAAATATACAGGTATAGCAGATTGGTTATGGAAAATACATCATTACATGTATATATATTTATAAACTATATAACAATTACATTAACAGTAGAGAGATGAAATTTGTGTAAAAAAAATTTCCTCTGATTTCTGACATTTGATTGTCATGGTTACCTACTGAAAAAATGCTAAAAATGCAAAAATACTGCTAATTCCAACCCAACACTACAACTTTCTAGGAGAAATTTAATTCTAAAAACCTATCTTAAAATCAACAACACTGTCATGGTAACAAAGTACTTACATTTCAGCAAATTCCAACTCGGAAATTCTTCATAACATGACCACATGTGAACACTATGAAAATTTCACTTCCTGTAAAGCTAGTTTTTGGTGCGTAGACACAGATTCGAGACTGCCCAAATAGTAATCTCCAACACAAAGCTAAAATATTATCCTGAAAAAAATGAAACCCCACATTGTCCACTTTAACATGACAGGACCAATTTTAGCAAGGATTTTTTTCATTTTTAATTAAAACCTTTATAATGGGGTAATCTAATGAGCAAAAAAAATCACCGAGAAACTTTGTACTGCTACCATAGTCGTTGTCGTATCCGTCGTGTGCACCTAACTTTTATGATACTTCCGGTTAGGGAGTAAGGTGACGTTGAAGTAACAGTGCCAACGATGGCGGGTATGCAGTTTGAATATGACGAAGAAGGAGGGACGTTTTTCTACTTCCTTTTATCATTTTGGAGTTTATGGCTTGTACCAACAACTATCTATTACTTCTGGCCGTCTGGTAAACAAGCTGGTAAGTTCATTTTGGTGCCAATATGGAGAAACTGCAAAGGGGCATTTCACAAAGTGGAGAGTACACAGTGTGACAAATGATGCCTATCGCTCACAAAGACCATAAGGTCTTACACATTTGTTGTCAAATTTGTTTAATGAACGTATCGGTCTGAATGTAACTGTAAACAACTTCACTTAAGGTCATTATCTTTTACAATAGGATTCAGGACCTCTGGCTTACTAATCTGAAGCTCAACATAATCAAACTAAAGAGATGTCTCTCACCAAGCAGTATATTAGGGCCAGTATTTTCCAGGGTTACATTTAGTCTAATCAATCATAAAACTGGAAACAAACTGCACACATGTCTGAAAGTGAGATGTGCACATTATAACTGATTCACAATCCAGGTTCTCGTTTTCTGTTATGAAGTAAATGCACATTTCTTAAAACCAGAATTAATTACTAGCACTGCTGTAAATTTTGATAAGGGTCAGAGTCTTTCAGACTAGGATTCAGTCTTTACTGATTTGAAATGCGATTTCAATATGGTGAGCCAAAATTATGGGATCACTTGGTTGATTGGAGGTGTGGGTAAGGATGTGTGTATGTTATGGCTAGTCCATTTGGTGTACAATCTGCTAACTTTCAATAAAGTCTTAAACCTTAAAAGTACAAGTTTTAATTTCACTGCTACACACTAGATATCAATAGATACAAATTAGTGAAAACAACAATGATTTATTTTAATATTTCCAAAACCTTGTCCTTGTGATATCTTTTTAATATTCACTCCAGCAATTGACTTTTTACTTATTTTACTGCAATTAAACATGATCATGAATACCATCTGCCTTATATAGTTTTATTTAAGTCTTGAATTCCTTCCTGTTTCCTTCCCTATCTGCTTTCTTTCTCTCTTCCTCTCTCTAGCCATCTGCCTTCTTTCTCTCCTCTATCTAACCATTTTCTATCATAATCTGTCTCTTCTCTCCTTTTTTCTTATATGTATGTATGTATGTATGTATGTATGTATGTAAGGGCGTGTGTGTGTGAACTTCTTTGTGTACATACAATGAAAAAATGCAAAAAATAAAATAAATATAAAAAAAGTTGATTATTTATGCTGTACATTAGATATATGATGAACACTCACAATTTGACAAATCCGTAGATGATGATGATGATGATGATGATGATGATGATGATGATGATGATGATGATGATGATGCATGTTATGATGTGTATGATGATGCATGCTAATGATGATATATATGTGTATTAGGATGATGTGTATGATAATACATGTAAGTGATGATGTGTATGATAATACATGTTTAATGATGATGTGTATGAGGATGATGTGTATAATAATACATACATGTTTAATGATGATGCATATGATAACACATGCATGTTTAATGATGACGTGTATGAGGATGATATGTATGATGATACATGTTAATGGTGATTTGTATGGTGATGATGTGTATAATAATACATGCATGTTTAATGATGATGTGTACGGTGATGATGTGTATAATAATACATGCATGTGTAATGATGATGTGTATGATAATACATGTTTAATGATGATGTGTATGAGGATGATGTGTATGATGATACATGTTAATTGTGATGTGTTGTATGATGATGATATGTTTGATGATACACGTTAATTGTGATGTGTATGGTGATGATGTGTATGATAATACATGTTTAATGATGATGTGTATGACGATACATGTTAATGATGATGTGTATGATGATGATGTGTATGAGAATATATGTTTAATGATGATGTGTATGATGGTACATGTTTAATGATGATGTGTATGATGATGATGTGTATGATGATACATGTTTAATGATGATGTGTGTGATGATAATGTGTATGATGTTACATGTTGGACATATGTATGTATGTAAGGGCGTGTGTGTGTGAACTTCTTTGTGTACATACAATGAAAAAATGCAAAAATAAAATAAATATAAAAAAAAAAAAAACATGATCATGAATATCTGCATAAAATAGTATAGGTACAGGTATACCAGCAAACTCTACATTGTTGTTTACTATATTAGATATTGCATGAGATAGGTACTCCTTTTATGTCCATGCTGGAAGTGTAGCCATTGACTTTAAATTGATCTTCAACCTTAATATAAAGTAGAAATATGAAGCAGTTATTTTTCTAAGATTAATGATTTCTTTGTTTTTAAGATAACATTTATGATTTCTAATTTCTCCTGTCATAAATTTTTGTTCAACCAAAATCTACAATACTACTATAATTCCAGCTTGTTTTTCCACTCCCTCTGCTGTTCCTCTCACAGGTTTTTACTGTGAAACATATTATATTGGAGGTGTATGTATGTATAGTCACCATCAAGATTCTGATCTATTAAAACATGTACACAATTCTTTAGACTATTTATAGTTATCTTCTGTACTTATGTCATGCAAAACCATGTAATACTTTTAAGAGGTTGATAACAATCAGTAAATATCCCAGCAAACAGCTTAAGGGGCCATCAGGGCCGAGAGCTTTAAAAGATACTCTAACACATGATAGCTCTCAACAGTCTTGCTTGCAGCTATACATGCATGTTGTATGAGGTCAAAAGTCACTTCCTGGTTCACAACCACTCCTACGTGGAACCTAATACTATAACATATACCTGTATATGGGCAGATCTTAGAATACAGGTTCCTGGTGGTTTTTTTGTTGGTCTAATTCTGGGTATTATAACAACTATATGACATATAAAAGCATATAATTAGATATAAAAGCAATGCTGTAGTTCATTGTCAAAGTTATTTTCTTACAAAATTATGTATATTTAAGAATGTTGAATACCCTTCACCCCATGTATTTGATTTGATAATTCTTTCCTCTTGTAGTGTTTACAGCCAATCTCAAAGCATTTCATCATCTCGGTCTCACCAAAAGAATAAATCTCACAATAATCTGCTAGTGCTTAATCCTTTTATTAGAGTTTAATGACCAAATTATTCAGTCCATCTTTTGTGTCAGTTAAAACAGATTTACTGACAGACTGTCTGATCTGACCAAATGATTCTGACCCTCATGATGTTAGTAAAGACAGATATTACTGACAGACTGTCTGATCTGACCAAATGATTCTGACCCTCATGATGTTAGTAAAGACAGGTTTACTGACACACTGTCTGATCTGACCAAATGATTCTGACCCTCACAATGTTAGTAAAGACAGGTTTACTGACACACTGTCCTATCTGACCAATGGGTTTAGACCCTCACGATGTTAGTAAAGACAGGTTTACTGACACACTGTCCTATCTGACCAATGGGTTTAGACCCTCACGATGTTAGTAAAGACCGGTTTACTGACACACTGTCCTATCTGACCAATGGGTTTAGACCCTTAAAAGACAGGTATGTGGACTCACTTTCCTGTATGAAATACTGACTTACTATCTTACCTTGATTGAGAACCTTTCGGTTTCACTTATGTGCATCTTTTGTTGTATAGAACCTGAGAATGATAAGAAAAGAGAATGTAACTGTGAACCATGCCAGTTAAAGAAGAATCGACTGAAAGCCAACTCAAAATGGGACCAGAACAGGGACCGAGCTGCGTAAGTTTTGCTTAGAAACCCATAATACTGGTAAACACATGTGGTCATGCTTTGATAACGAAAAGGAAATATTCTCCTAGGCACCAAACGACAGCAATGTACAGGTAGAAAGAACTGTATTGAAAAAGTTTATCTATGATACTGAATTATGGGAAAAAAATTTGAATTTTATTTCACAAGAAGACAAGTTTTACATGTGAAATGTGATTACATGTATAATTTTTATCAACAGCTTTTGTTTGTTTGTGTAAACAGTAGGTAGATAAGTATATAATTCTTGTTGAATAAGTTGAATAAGAAAAAAGTCATACTTTAATTATTTGTATTCAAGAGAAAATAAAGTAGATATACAAGAGATCATATAAAATTATTATCCCTAGTCTCTTTATTTAGCTGAAGTATCTACTGTAATGCAAGTGTCTTTATTATCCCTAGTCTCTTTATTTAGCTGAAGTATCTACTGTAATGCAAGTGTCTTTATCATCCCTAGCCTCTTTATTTAGCTGAAGTATCTACTGTAATGCATAGTTCCTGTCCTCACTTACCTGTGATTTACCTGTGGTTTTCATGATAGTTGTCAGAACAAGGTGACATTATCAGATGTTGGATTGCTTAGAATATATAGGATGAATAATTGTGTTTCAAGAAAATGTGTTATTAACTGGAATATTACACTGGCTTGACATCAAGTGGTTTTCACTGTATCTAAAACCTGTTAATTGTATGTCATCCTTGTTCATCTGACCCATCAGTTATAGTGGTATGCAATGAGGATATAGAAATGATGCAGTATTTCAGTTTGATGTAAAATCTATTCATACATGTATGATATATTGTTAGGTAATGACAATAACACTATTTTCGTTTACAGAAAATTTGGACTTTTCATCAGTTGGATAATATTGATAGCACTTGCATACAAAGTATCAAAGATTCAGATGGATTACGTTGAATATGATCCATACATGGAACTTGGTATAGATAGGGTAAGTATGAAAGTTCTAACTAACGTTCATTACAAGTGATTTGATTGTATACCTGAAACTTCACTTTAAATGAGACTTTTAGTTCATTTTCCTATTTATCTGTTTATAGCAGGGACATGATACACTATATACCTTTCCTGTGTGTAACCTTGCTATCTAGGGGCCCATTTCATTAAACTTATCTGGAAATACTGAACGGAAAAAATCAGTTATACACTATCGGATGGGAAGCAATATACACGTATTGTGAATCAGCTTAGGCTCTTCGATTCTACATGTGTTTTAACATTTGTTCACATTTTATTTTAAAGTGTATGTGATGATGTCTTAACTTGTGCTATTTGAAATCCTTAATTAGCTTTATTACTGATTGAAAAGGTAAATACATAACAGATCTTTTGTTTTTTGTCCAATTACCCTATGAAAACATTTGTTCTGTGTGGTTACAAAGTTATATGGAATAACTGATTACGTCATTCTTTTTACTTACGCGAACATATGTCAATCCTTCCTCTAATCTGTATGATATTTAACAGGGCGCATCAGATAAAGAAATCAAGAAGGCTTATCGTTCAATGAGTTTAAAGTTCCATCCTGACAAGGAAACCGGTGACCCAAAGAAATTCATGAGAATAGCCAAAGCTTATAAAGCGTAAGTATTGTTCCAGTTCCTGTGATGTTTCACCGTGTTGGATTCCAGTTGTAGAGCAAATATGTTGGAAATTTCTACCTAGCATTTGGAGGGGAGGAGGCAGTGGCAATATGACAAAAGAAGACACCTAGAAAATAATTTTCGAACTTTTGTTTTTTTTTAGAAAAAAATGGTTCTTCTTGGTGATTCAGCAGAATAAAATATCTTAAATGCAGTTGTCATATTTTGTTGATCTGGAGTTAGTCAAAGTTGTTCTAAATGAATTTAATTTAGAGATAATTGGTAAAGCAATGAATGAGAAATAAGAAAGAAATAGAAATTATGTGTTACATATATATGTTAAACCTGTTTTATCAATATATTGTATTCTTATTTTATAACTTTCATGTTCAAAGTATTGTGCTAAAATAGGACTGATGATTGCAGATTTTGTTTCATGTTTATATTGCAATTATTGTGAATTCACAAATTCATCATTGCGCTAATTTGTTAAAGATTGATAATGCTCTAAAATTGATGACGCTTAAATAATAGATAAGTTTACGGTATGTAATATAATGATTGGTCTTTCTTTGAACAAGGCTCCCTTTCATTTACACTGAGTGAAAACACTGGAAAAATTAGAATTTTAAAGCTGGTTTGACATGTTTGTTTTAAGTTACCAAGTTCATCTAAGATTATTTTTTTTCCACAAAATTTGATCTGAAGCAAAATATTTCCATTCAGAGTTTCTCTCAAGTCTCCTGTCAACAATTAAATTATGGAGTTTTGACTTTCCAGATTAACAGATGAAGACACAAAGAAGAATTGGGAGGAACATGGCAATCCTGATGGACCAGGAGGTATGTATCAGTAGTATGAATAGTGACTGATCATATAGACATCAGACACCAAATCAATCCTGATGGACCAGGAGGTATGTATCAGTAGTATGAATAGTGACTGATCATATAGACATCAGACACCAAATCAATCCTGATGGACCAGGAGGTATGTATCAGTAGTATGAATAGTGACTGATCATATAGACATCAGACACCAAATCAATCCTGATGGACCAGGAGGTATGTATCAGTAGTATGAATAGTGACTGATCATATAGACATCAGACACCAAATCAATCCTGATGGACCAGGAGGTATGTATCAGTAGTATGAATAGTGACTGATCATATAGACATCAGACACCAAATCAATCCTGATGGACCAGGAGGTATGTATCAGTAGTATGAATAGTGACTGATCATATAGACATCAGACACCAAATCAATCCTGATGGACCAGGAGGTATGTATCAGTAGTATGAATAGTGACTGATCATATAGACATCAGACACCAAATCAATCCTGATGGACCAGGAGGTATGTATCAGTAGTATGAATAGTGACTGATCATATAGACATCAGACACCAAATCAATCCTGATGGACCAGGAGGTATGTATCAGTAGTATGAATAGTGACTGATCATATAGACATCAGACACCAAATCAATCCTGATGGACCAGGAGGTATGTATCAGTAGTATGAATAGTGACTGATCATATAGACATCAGACACCAAATCAATCCTGATGGACCAGGAGGTATGTATCAGTAGTATGAATAGTGACTGATCATATAGACATCAGACACCAAATCAATCCTGATGGACCAGGAGGTATGTATCAGTAGTATGAATAGTGACTGATCATATAGACATCAGACACCAAATCAATCCTGATGGACCAGGAGGTATGTATCAGTAGTATGAATAGTGACTGATCATATAGACATCAGACACCAAATCAATCCTGATGGACCAGGAGGTATGTATCAGTAGTATGAATAGTGACTGATCATATAGACATCAGACACCAAATCAATCCTGATGGACCAGGAGGTATGTATCAGTAGTATGAATAGTGACTGATCATATAGACATCAGACACCAAATCAATCCTGATGGACCAGGAGGTATGTATCAGTAGTATGAATAGTGACTGATCATATAGACATCAGACACCAAATCAACCATGCATACACATTGATAAACAATTATTTTAGGTAACATTTTTTTCATGGTAGAATAGTGACTGATCATATAGACATCAGACACATGCATACTTATTGAGAAAAAATGTGAATTTCAAGATGTGGCAGGTCTGAGGTATTCTTATTTGTTAATAAAACAATTATCTAAGTAACATTTTTTTTCTGTGAGACTTGTAATAATTAGATATTTAAGATAAATGTTAAGTCATTGATTATGACATTTATGTAACTATTCTATCAAGAAATAGATATAAATATGCTATTTTATCGTAGCCTGTTGATACATTTTGTAATAATCTATGGAAGTATTATTATACAGCTATAGTACAGCTAATTGTGTTGATATGTTTAATTTACAGTTGTAAGGTTTGGTATTGCCTTACCAAAATGGATTGTGGAGAGAGAAAACTCAATGTTGGTAAGTGTACTACAAAAACCCTGCTTGTTCAGGAAATGTACTGTTTTGCAGTAAGACATCATGTATCTCCCTGCCTGTTATATGTTATGACTATTGTAAATCCTGTGGAGAATTGTGTTCCCTATAAGGTGTCTACTATTTATATCTACTCATGGCAAAACATTAGACCCCTATCTTTCTTTTTCTATCCTTCATTCTTTTTCTTTTTGATGTTATTTGTCTTCATTTAGCATAATCATAATCCTAACTCAAATTCAATTAATTTCTATATGTTCTGATGGATTATTTCAGTAATCCAGGAACAAAATCTAAAGCTTTTCATTTTAAGATCTAAATTTTTTTTTGTATAGGGGTAAAAAATTTGATTATTTATTTCAGGTCCTAGCTGCATATGGTTTGATCTTCATGATCATCCTGCCAGTGGTGGTGGTAAGTCTTGATGATTATTCCAGATTGTTGGATGATACAGATAAGTCTTGTAACTAAAATTACTTTATTGTATTCTGACTATCTGTGACCAGTGTTTTAGTGAAGTGATTTGACAGTCCTGTTCAATACACCAATAGTTCACAGTCTCATATTCGCGGTTGCTAATGCAGGGATGGAGTGAAATTTGCGGGCTGGATTTTCAAGGTTTCACTTCAGATTATTTAATTACATAAAGATTTTTTTATATTTAGCATTTATCTTTCAATATCTCAATGCCTCATGATAAGCCCACCTATATTTATTGGTGTTATGTGGAAATGGCAACAGATGCTACCTTGCCTTGTTTTTAAGCCTCTCCATACTTGATGATACATATACATGTACTCAATTAACATTTTACCATAAATCTTTTAATAAAATACCTAGTGACTTTTCATAAATCATTTATTGCAACTGGATGAGTGTGACAATATGGAAAAATGTGAAGGGATTGGTTTTTTTGATGAAAATGATGGTGCAGTCACAACACAACCCGATCTCCTGTGTTAGTGGTACTTTAGGGACCGATGAACGTATTGTATTTGCCCAGACAAAGTCGTCCCCTGGATGAAACCGGTCGGCATGTATATAGTTAAAAGTAAATAAAGCACCACTAACTAAGGATGTGAGGTTGTGTTGTGATTGCACCTCCGTGATCATGTCTTAGTCATATACAATCACCCTACGTACATAAGGGTATCCTTGATGGCACTAACGACCTTTCTGTGTTGACGGGCTGTTAAGAATGTCGTAATAATAATAACTAAGGGTATCCATTCCTAGACAACTTATCCAATACAACATCAAATAGTAGCAAGACGGTGACTCTTCTCCTTCTATTCTATTGAGATTTTTTTTTCACTTTATTAGATTACTGAAAAAACAAGCACATGTACAACAAATAAAAACAAACTATGTAGCTCCTATATAAATGTGATGCATGTATGACAGAAGACATGAACAGGTTCAAAACTCTTCTAGCTGGAACTAGATTTTACCAGACATATTTCTGTCCTCAGGGTATTTGGTGGTACCGCTCCATAAAGTTCAGTAAGGACCAGGTGTTGCTGGATACAACCAAACTCTACTATTTCTTCTTCCAGAAGGCACCCAATATGATGCTTAGACGTAAGTCGAACAACAGAAAAATGAATCCACATTTACCAGAAAAGTTACACTGTTTGATGTTTATAATCTCCTGAATTAGGACAAATTAGTCATAAGAACAGATACTTTTCATAGCAATAAATATTCATCAACTTTTTGCATAGGTAAAAGAGTTTTTACAAAAAATGAATAAATATGAAAGCTTTCCATTTGTAAACAATAGGGTATAGTTAAATGGAAATAATTATTATCCTTCAAAATGTTTCACATCAAGACTGTCATATTAAGGTTTTTATGAGATAACTTGTTAATATTCAATCTTGTGTTTTCTTTACATATGATAGCCTGTTCTTCATGGGCAGTGATTACCAATAGGGATACAGGATGTAATATTTAAATAGCAGTTTGCGTATTGTTATCTTTCTATTTAATTCAATCTACAGGTTGTATAATGGTGCTGGGTGCATCATTTGAATTTGATAAATTCCATAATAAGGAAGTTATAGAACGTCCGAGTGATAACGAAGAAGTCCCTCAGGTTTGTATTAATCGTTTACTACTATATTTATCTGTAAATAAACCACTGCCCTTGCTTACTTTTCATAGCGTCACAAATGTTGGAATAGGAAGTTAAAAGCCGTTCAAAATCCACCCTCCCCAGACTTTAGTACTTAACTTTTACTTTAGGGGAGGGGGGTTATCTTAGAATAAATAGGGTATTAAAGTTGTAAAGATCATATGACTGTTAGAAATATAAAATGCCTTGTAGCCCTTAATTCAGTCTTTTTATACTGTGATGAACTAGGATGGATGCAGTTTCTTATCATACAAAATCATTACCTATCATATTTTATCAGTTTACTGTGATTTTTAAAGCTGATTAAGTTCATGTTCCTTTCTTATAATCAAATAAATTCATGATCTCCTTCGTTTTAAAAATGTTAGAATAATTTTGGGATATACTGTTTTTCCATTTGAAATCCAGAAAGCAAGAAACAAAAGTATGTCATTGAAGAAATAGTATAATCCCTAGAAATCTTATCAATATATTTCTCTGATAAATTGTTATCAAACCCTTTTTTTTATCAAATCTATTTCAGCTGATTAAGAGGTTGCCAAATCTTGATGAGAAGAATAAGGAGAAACCATTATGTTTCCCCTACAGTGTCAAAGCCAGAGCACTTCTCCACGCTCACTTTAACCGCCTGGATCTCCAGTCTTCTACACTAGAGCAAGGTGAGCATCAGATCAGATTGAAATGACAGAAGTATTGATTGCCTGTTTCCCATGTATTATGTTATATTGACACTTGGCGTCGGCCTGTGCAACCTCAGATGAAGATGAGGTGCATGGTTTGACACTCCATACCTTTGGCAATTTGTGTTTCTCAGAAAGTTGAGAAATGGACCTGTGGTTGTGTCCTTTAACTCAATTGCTCCAGATGACATGCGACGTATCTCCCTTGTGTTGTTCGGTGAGGTAGTCACCAGCTACTAAAAGGAGACCTGCCTCCAAATAACCCTGGCTGATCACAGGGAAAGAAACCATACAAACAGACTATTTGATAAATGTTTTACATGATTTATAGGTAAATTTGGGTCAGGTGTAAGCATTTTTCTATGTAAGCATATGTATAATTATTGTATGTATAATAATATATGCATACAAATGAGATGGAAATCAATGATTAACAGAATACTAAATTCTTTTTAAATGCATGTATTGGAATTTGTTGCTTGTGATCGTTAAACATACTCAAATAGTAAATTCAGGAAGCATTTCTATGGAATAGAAGTTCTTGTAACACAGCTAGTAGAAGATTAAAGTGGGATGTTTCGATGATGGTCAACTTCATCAGACAAATGACCAGTGTGAAGCGTACTAGCACTGACGTACGTAGTTTACAAGATCTACACTGTCAACTTCATCAGACAAATGACCAGTGTGGAGGGTACTAGCACTGACGTACGTAGTGTACGAGATCTTCATGTCACCTTCATCAGACAAATGACCAGTGTGGAGGGTACTAGCACTGATGTTACATAATGTATGAGATGGAATGGAATCAACCCGGCTGTACTTTAATTCTATGTACACTGAGGTCAAAGATTGATGAGGGTGACCGTCTATTGACATTACCAACCCAAAGAAAATGATAAAAAAAGCATAGGAAGTATTTCTGTTTCTATTACAGAATAATATTTCAACACTGTTTATCACTGAAAACCTCATGTATTTGATGAGATAAATTCTCATCACCAGGGATTTTATTGTCTCTTCTCCCTCAGTTGTGCTTGATATTTCAGCAGCTCTCAAATGCAGAAGGTAAATTTTTCATGTGTGCTTCATTACCGAAGACGTCAACTAAAAATCTATTTCAGGTCACACAGTCTTTCATATCCATTGTGACTGAAATTTATGAACTACTTGATGTTTTAAAGTCACTTGTCTGATCACAAGATTTATAAGCATTTATTTAGCTGAAGGTAGTGTTAAATTCATTCAAATGTCGAGTACTCTTTTACATTCATGATATATTAACTTAAAAACAGAAGCATAAGATATTCAGCTAAGAAAATGTATTTACTCATTGAAATTAATTTGTTTCAGATAAGCAGTTTGTCATCAGCAAATGTCCTTGTCTTATCAACGAAATGATCAACATCATCGCCCAGCTTGTAGCTGGGGCGGCTCGCAATGGTAGGAACATTTTGCTTCCTACACATAATGATGTTTAACATAAATCATAAATGCCATAAAAAACGTATATTGTATCACTGATAATGATATGAAATACTATTCTGTTTATATAAAACATTTCAAGATAAGAGTTTCTTATTTCTGTTGGTGACTAAGCTGAACTTGATTTCTTAATCAAATGTATGGAATTTCCTCCTACTTAGTACTCTGGTATTGTAAGATTGCTTCACACTTCTTGGCTAACAAGAGTGTTTGATAGGTGCAGATAGAATTTGTTTTATACCAGTTATTTGTTTTAAAATTATCAATTTTTTGTAAAGAATCAATAAAGCTTGTTTTAAGGGGTTCTGATTCTTGGAAGAAAGAAATTAAAAAAAAAACTTTTTACGGAAAAAAAAGGCTGTATCATGAACAAAAGCCTTTAGCATTACAATATCTATTGTACTGATTGGCTCATTACAGCTGTGGCACACATGCCACGCCTGGAGACTGTGGAAAACTGTATGAAGGCATCACAAATGGTAATTCAGGGACTCAACGAACGGTCAAGCCCTCTCTTACAGCTTCCTCATGTAGGCCAAGATATGCTGAAACATTTTAACACAAAGAAGGTAAGTGTGTAATAAAATGCTTCATTTTACATTGAAAAAAAAAGATTAATTTAGTGCTGTTTGTGAAGATTTTATAACAATTCCTGTTTGAAAATTTTATAAATTCCACAATAAAAGTTGATGGAAAGCAACAGAGACACAACTGAATCAGATTAACCTAGTAATATCCCTAATCAGTACAGAAATGGAGACTTTCACTTTTCAAAATCAAAGAAAGTTTAGAATATTTTTGCAGACAAATTTTCAGCAATTAATTTTTGTGAATCGGGCTGTATTTGACTAAAGGTTGGTCACAATCAGCAATAATATTTATCTGCCCGTATAAAGTTTAAGTTCTATAATATCATATACCATATCTTCTGTATTATAAGCTGCAGCTGTTTTAACGAGTACCTGGCCACCATGAGTTTGTGACTGAAACAGATTGGGTAGAGCAGTCACTCATAATCTTATACGGAATGATTAGAAGATCATTAATATGAGTCACAATAATATCTTCTTGGCATTCACGGTTACATGACTGCAGCAGCAGAAGGCATGGAAGAAGTATGCAATAGTCTATTGCACCCTGGGATGGATTGGTCATAGGGTGATGGGTCAAATTCTAGGACGACCGCTATACTGTAAATTACAAGAAATAATATTGAACTATAAGAATTTTTTTAGCATGCAAAGGCCATAGTTAATATCTATCAGTACAAACACTGATGAAGAGATACTGGTGCGACTTTATAACATGGAAAATACGGTACATTTTTACTTTTTTTCATAATATTATATACATGTATGTTGGTTTATGTATCTTTTAGAGGCACATACAAAGAATCACCGATCTCATTGCTATGAAGGAAGAAGACAGAAGATTGTTATTCCGTAACCTTGGTAATGAGGAGTATAGGGACATCATCAATGTGTGTGCATCAATGCCTTATGTTACCATGGATGTGAGGTCAGAGGGTAAGCATGTTTGGACATGAACCTTCAAATCAGACTAAAAAAAATTCACACATCAGGTTTTGGGTCAAATAATGATTTAAATTCTGCAGTGGTAAGATAGTAGTATTACTAGATAATGTGAATTTTATTCAGACAGGTTACCTAGTGTATGCCTATCAAGCAGCATAGTTCTGTTAAGAATAGAGGAGGGACTTGTTTATCTAGAGATGGGCAACATAGAATATTCATACTTTGATGCCATTTTTATGAGATCTTCCTGAAACTTTGTCATTGAATTCATCACAAGTATTGAAACATATTTATTGAAATCTGAATTTAATTATAGTTCAACTAGAAATTGAGAAAAAAAAAATTGTTTTTATGATTTTGATGTAAAATCCTGAGTTGAAATCATCACAGTTTATCATGGTAGTGAGTATTCATTGTGGTTTCTGTAAACCAGTTCTGGATGATGAAGATTCAACAATTACTGCTGGATCTATCGTCACGGTAACAGTCGAACTCCGTCGAGAGAACATGGAGGTTTTGTTCGAGAAAGAAGACATTGAGTTTTCTCATATGGATCAGGAAGTGGTAGAGGAAAATATAAAAAATGAGGAGACAGAATTGGTGAGAAATAGAATCTTCTACTATTGATTATGCTCTACAGTAAATCATTCTAAATGGGCTTAGTTTTTATACACAAAACATTGATGTTTGTCTTTTAATAAGTGACATATGTTTATTAAATGTCATTTCATTGTTTTCTTGCCAGGGTTGCGTTACACTTTTACTTGAAAGCAGTAACATATAAACCTGATCTCCAGAAGGCACCACCTTCTCATTAATGGAGTATAAATTTCTCTTGGAAATTTTTGTGAATGTACAATTATTTCAAAACAAGATGCTAAAAACAGTAGATAAAGCAGAGTCACTTCTATTTGTTTGGTTGAAATGATCTAGGGGGAATATGAAATGGTTTGGATGAAGAAAATATTCCACAATGAAAACAAAGTCTGAAACCAAAGTACTATAGGACTAAAATTACATATCACTTGATAAAACCTAATCTTTCGTTCATGTTAAAATGAAATGATTATGTCCTGGCAAAGAAACACTATACAGAGGACTTCTTTTTATTTGTGTTTGATAGGAACCAGTAGATTCACTTAAAAACTTACAACAGACTCAGCAACAACAAAAAACATCTAAAAAACAACAGAAAAATAAAAAGGTTGTGAAGAAGAAGAAAGCACCAAAACAAGCATACAACTGGAAGGCTGCTGCTGCTGAGAAGGAAAACAACAAACAGGTACTGATAGAAGTATGTTACGGAATCAACCATTGGTCAAAAGGTGTCTACTAATCAGTAACGGTATCAGCAATTGGTTGATGGGAATGTGGTGTCTGTAACAGCAACAGCCATTGGTTGGTGGAAGTCTGGTATCAGTGACAGCATCAGACATAGGTTGATGGTTATCTACTCTCATTTAGAGTATCAGTCATTAGTTGATGGAGATCTAATATTAGTAACAGTATCAGACATTTTGTGTTTTATATCTACTTTCAGTAACAACATTACTCATTGGTTGGTGAGCAGTCTGGTACCACTTACAGTTTCAGCTATTGGTTGATGGGGATGTACTATCAGCTATCCCATTTACCACATATTTGCAAAGTCTTATCTATGCCAAAAATTAGGTAATTTAATACTTGTAATAGTAAGGGTTTTCCAGGTGAATGAAAATCCTTGATTAATTGGGGTTTTTTTTATGAAATCTGCTGCTCTGACAGCCAAATTCTACATTGTCATTTTTTTCAATGCAGAATTCTTTGGCTGTGACAACTGTTGGAGGTGCTGAAACCGAGACTCACAAGAAGGAGGAAGAAAATGACAACAGTGATGCTGAGACTGAAGAGGGAGGAAATGACTCAGATGAAGAAAACTCTAAAATTGTAGATAGATCAAATGATCAGGACAGAAATGATGGTGCAGTTGAGGATGACGATGAACAATGGAAAAAATACCAGGAAGAAGCCAAAATGGAAACAACGTTAGATACAAAAGTCAAAGAAAGCCATCCAGTTCATTGTCCATACTTTTCAGACGTGAGTAGAAAGTCTTTAGACCTTCAACAAGGATGTGGAACATCTAGGTTTATAAGATTGTGTAAAATGTTGATGGCTACTGCTTGGCCATTGATGTGTAAAATCTTTTAAGTTTCATGTCAGGAGAAATTATTCAGCATGTTGACAGCTTAAATATTTATCTCTTTGTTTTTCATGTTAACTGGAATAGAAATTTCTTTTTACAATTTAGCCTGTGATGTGAAGGTCAGCATTTAGGTAAAGGGATGTCATTTTTATCTGTGGATATTTTTTGTTTTAAAACAAAAGGAAAACATCTATTACTTGTTTGTTATTGCTGAGAATGGGTAACGGAGTCACTAGTGATATCACCAACTCAGATTTTATAGATTAAGTTCTGCAAAATTTTAGAAATGATTGAAAATGTGAACATGACTGATACATCATAAAAGAAACTGTCTATTATAAGTTCATTTGACATACTCTGTGTTCTAGGATCGACAGGAAGGCTGGTGGCTCTATGTTGGGGACAAGAAAAGCCATATGTTAATAACAGCACCAGTACAAATCCAGACCCTAAAAATAAAGGAAGAGGTAAGTCTCACAATGATTACAGTGACAAATGTCTCAAAATGGTGGTTTTATTTATATAAATAGTCCGAACTTGTTGGATTAAGATTGATGACATTACATAATAAGGCTATTTGTACATTTATCATTGTTTGTGATTGTCACAGAAATCAGAGGTCATCAACTGAGGTACTTCTCCGACATCAACATATTTTTCTGGTGTTCCGTGTCATTCCTTTGAAACAGGGTCATTTTCCACATTTTTAGTCTCTGAACATATAATGATTAACTTAAGACATTTACTTGTTTTTTATTTAATGTTTTTCAACATCAGACTATTATACACATACATATCTGTTCTTACACCAGTATTTACACTTGTAATTACACCTATATCAACACCTGCATTTACACCTGTACTGAACACTTTTACTTATATGTATATTTACACTTGTATTACATCTCTTTTTTACACATGTTATTTCAGATCCAGTTAAAGTTCTCTGCTCCAGTAAAACCAGGTGTCTACACATACTTTGTAATCCTACGATCAGACTCGTACCTCGACTTTGATCAACAACACAAAATCAGGGTAAGTTTGTCTCTAACACAAATTTTTTTCTGCTCCTGACCTTAAGTAGCTAAGAAGGAAAAGATTCTTTCCTTAGACATCTCCCAAAGTTAAATAATGATACTTCTCTCATTCTTTATATATAAAAAAAAAATGATTTTCGAAATCAATCATTAGCTATCTTCAGTATATGAAGTTATCAGTCAATGATATAGTATCATAAAATTGATGGTCGTTATTTTTTTCATCTAAAGTTTTTGATATCTATCTTACCATCATTTTTTCTCAAAGTTAAGTTTTTTGTCTGAAATCTGACCACTTTTCCTCCTTGATTGCTCCTGTTTCTTTACAAAAACAGTTGTGTCCATTATTTTTGTCTAAAACCTGTTGTTGTATCCCTTTTCTAACTCTGACTACTTTTTATCCTGAATTTCTCTACGAAAGTTGAGGGCTGTATCATTGGCTTAAAATATACTGTTTTTATAATTCTAATAATGACTGTCTCCTTTCGCTTAATGTAATAATTGATAGTTCCTAATTTTTGTTCAAAAGATTTATCTCTGTATGTTGTAGCTGGATGTGAAAGAAGCTAAGTTAGTGAAGGATCATCCACAATGGGACATTTCTGATGATGAAGAAGACAAGGATAAAGACGATGACAGTGATTCTGACTACTCTACAGATATGTCTGATTCAGAATAAACCAGGATTTAATGGAGCAAAACTGTTTGACCAAATGTAAAAAAAAATGTCGGTCTCTATCTTGTGATGATTTTACAAAGCATTTTAATGTTACTTTAGAACGGCGCTCATTTTGAAAAAAATGTCATGAAAATAAGAATCATTGAAATTCATATCAATAGTGAATGTAACTATGATAGAAATCTCCAGAGGACATTTTTAAATAAGTATAAACCTGGACTAAGTTGTTTTCATATCTATTGTGAAATTCCGTAGAATGAAAATTAGTGCCAAGGTCCATTTCTGATTGAAGAATAGACTTTATATATAAAGTACATGGCTATGATTTGAAGTGATTCCTGTTGTCTTTTTGGTCTTTTGTCATGTCAGGTAAATCAGATTTAAGATCAAGCCATTTTCTAGAACTTAATTTGGCCCTAATAACAAATAGTTTAGGATGATGCAACAGCTAGAAATGTAAAAACATTATAACTGTTTAATTTAAAACAACTGTTATATTAATGTATTGTCTGATTTCTTTTTCTCATATTTTAAAAAGATTTCATACTTTTGTTTTATTTTCTATATTCTTTTAAATTTCAACCTAAGTGCAGGGTATGAAATGTGAAAATATTAAGTTATCATGTCTTGGAACATATATTACTGACGGCAGCCCAGAACACTAAAATGGGTGTTCAGTAGCCATGATCGCTAATGTGCTAACAGTATGACTGTCGTGATGTGTTCAATCAACCATAAGCTTCAGACCACTCTTTCCTTGAATGAAGGTTCAAGATTACACTGAAAGTGGGGAACAATGTCAGGTTAATTGTTTCCGGGTGAGATTGTTCTCCCCGTAGGGACTTCCTATAACATCCGAAACAACACTCATTCCCTTAGCAATCTTGTAACAATAGCTCTTTATAGCTTTCATTAAGGGTTGAACTTATTTAAACATGAAGGAAAGGTTTATTATCATTTTCTTTTTTTCGTTTGCCTCCCACAAAAATTAAGAAGGAGAAGTTAAATTTCTGTTTTATATGGCTTAGTATTTTACTTTTATCAATGCAATGGTGAGTGAAACATCTTCAGCTTTTCCTTAGAATTAGGATTTTGGTTTTAACTTTAAAGGTTAAAACTGAGGATGAAATCACGTGGGCTCATTTTTGGTGCCAACCGCCGTATCAACAAGTGTTCAGGTGAATGTGTTCACAGGTGCCAAGTGGTCTCATAGTCTGCTGCTCATCATTGTCTGCTTTCAGAAACAATCACTAGAGTTAAAACATACTTGACAGTCAGTTTTGCATAGAAGCATTTTATGGAAATTTTTGCAACAGTTTTAAATTGATCTTGCTAATTAATTTGGACCATTAAATCTATTCATGGTCAAGATTTTTTTCTTTCTTGACTTCTCTTTTTTTTATCTAGATTAGATCTTCCAGAATTGATTAGATTATTTAAAGAATGTTTTTACTTCTACTGGAAATGAAAATTTCAATTATTGCTTTCATCCTTTGGCTGCATCAAGCACAAAAAAGGCAGGTCTACCATGAGTTAGTTAGGGGTTGAACCAGTTAAAGCCTTCCAATAAAATCTTGGATATTTGCCTACTTTATTTGAGATATAGACCTCTGTAACTGTCTAATATGGTTTGATGTTTTTACCTCCAATAAAGGTTAGACAAAGATTAAATATCCCACATGACCACATATTTTGCACCTTAAAATGTTGAAAACTTCAAACCAGAGAAGCTGCTGCCCTAGTGATTGGAATGAGAGGCGTGGAAGGAAAGGATGACCATATGTTGGGAGTAAATGAAGATTTAGTGATGGTATATGTCAGAACGTGAGCAAGATGTGGACAAATTGAAAGCATAAGAGATGAGTAAGAAGAGGTTGATGCAAGAATTTTCTTTAGAAATATATATATATATATATCTATAACATCTGGAGTGGATGCCATATACATACATGTACATTAGTTTTGAACACATATTTATTTTTCATGTCTGATTTACATTAACATGGATGGTGGCTAGAAAATCAGAAGGAATGTATTTTCACATGTATATTGTTATTTGCATAATTTTCATGGGTTTTTAACTTTACTTACCTCTAATAAAAGAGAATTTTGTTCTCACCATGTCCTTTAATACGGAACTCACTGTACTGGTATTCGCAGACCTACCTGTTATCATTAATCTCTTTGAATTCTATTTCATTGCATTTAGAAAGAAACACTGTCTACATCTTGACAAAGGAATCTGTCTAGTCATTTATCATGGATACAGATTACCTTGAAACTTTCAGAGAAGGTGGTGGGAAGGGGAGAAATCTGAAAGACGGTGCAGTGTTTATCTTTTGAGTGTCGAACATATGATCAGAGGGGGTGTTTCCGCATGAATTTTCATTTTCTTTTTCTTATAATTTCCAGAAATTTATCCATGTACAGTTCTTGTAAATAGATGTATTTATGTATGAAACCATTATACTTGTGACGGCTCATCACCAAACTCGAATGAAACTTGAAGAAAGAGCCTATCATTTTGGCCTTTCAGCTCATTACATGATGATTTCTTAGAGGCTTCTACTGCAGCGACACTTGGTGGTACATAAAATGGAACTTCTGGGTAATAGGATACTTGTTTGTGTAAAAAATTTATATTGTATCGGTGATATGTTTTGCCAATAAAGTGTTTTATGTTTGTGGTTCAAATGCTGAATATATGTGAAAAAGTAATCAAAGTGTATCTTTAGTATGTATTTTCAGAAATGTAAGAAAGATATTAAATGAAATTTTAATTTTAAATGAAAATTTTCATGTCCACACCATTTTATGGGCTGGGACACAGTGTTATCCTTGCCCATCATTCCATCATTATTTTGTTTCCTTTCATTTATTTTTTAACAGATATAGATATTGGACTGTACTTTAGTTTGTAGATACATGTATGTATGGACAATATGTAGGTCATGTACTGATTGGATTGTGTTCAATTAATTTTTACCAGAGCAGTAAGACCAGTAGGTATTAAAAAAACAAAATAAACAAAAATCTGCAGTCAAAAATGTAATGTCATTTCAACTATTTTTACTGTTGATTCTGCAGGCAGGACTCAGTTTTATTAGGTCACCTGTGACAAAGTGTCCTGGTGACTTATTGTGATCGCCTTTCATCCGCCATCATACATCTGTAAGCTTTCAACATTTTTACTTTTTCTTGACAACCTTTGAACCAATTTCAATTTAATTTTGGAAAGGTTCCCTGGCCACTTACTATGAACTAAAATGGTGAATTATATATGGTCCCCACACCCAGTGACCTGAGGGGCAGGGTCAAATTAATTGAAATTTCAAAAATCTTCTTCTCAACACCTAGATATGGTAGAATCAAATGCTCTTCTTAGATGGAAGGGTCTTTAGATGCTTCACCAAAATTGTGAATTTCATGACCTCTGGGTCCCACAATACCTGTAGGGGAGGGTGTGAAGTTACCTACAGTCTACATAGGTAGGTAGAATTGGTTTAGTTTTCATTGGAAATACTTCAAACTTTGTTAGTATTATAAGAAAAGGATCATGGCTTGATGGTTTGCCTAAATTGATCCTTGCTGTCCCTGAGGGACTGATGAGCAGGGTCAAAAGGGGTCAAATTGACTTAAATTCTTAAAAAATCTTCTCAACACAGAGATATGGTAGAATCGAATGCTCTTCATGGGTGAAAGGGTCTTACCAAAACTCTGAATTTCATGAGCTCAAAGGTTTCACATTTCGTCCTGGGAGGGTGTAAAGTATAGTTTTTACAGGAAAATTGAATTTTCAAACATTATGTAATAATTTCCATTGGCTTGAAGTTAGTAAGAATTATAAGTATAGCACAGTTTTGATGGTATGTACATATAGACTCTCCAAGGGGTTGAATTGTATCACTAGTCAAACTCTCATCGATGTCACATTTTTTGTTTTTTTGATACTTGAAATCTACTAGCCCTGTAACCATTACATTCAATAATGCTTACCTCAGATGACCGTCAAGACCGTTAGGCCTCTTGTTTCATGAGTTATGTGTACACGTCTTCACAAAGACAATGACACTGAAAAGCTCAGACTTCTCCTTGAATACCTATATGGACATTCATTTTGCTGCGATACACGTCAAGGTTAATGATTAGTAGTAACAACATGTAATGTACATTTGTGATAAATCAATAAATAAATAAATACAGTTGAATTGTGTATTGCATTAAGTCTTGGTTTTCAATATACCAGTAGCTATAATTGAAAAAAAAACTCGCATATTTGTAAAGGAAACTACGAATGTTTTGACAATTTCATCTCAACAAGGCTTGAATTTTTCCCCAGATAATCAAGAGTCTTTCTGCCTTTTATATGATTGGTTAACATATGAAAATGATCCCCTTTTCCAGCAGGATATGATTGGGCTCATGGAGATAAAAATGCAACAATGACGATCATGTGTGAATTCTCACCCAATTTGTTCCGAAGCATCCATGGATGAAGGGAGATAAACTTTGTATAAACAATGGGTCTTGGGCTCCTGACATTACATGATTCTGTCCCTATTTTATCTGAAGCATGCTTATGTGAAGGAGATTTTTGTATAACTGCTTTGGCTGCCCCCAGGGAGCAAAGAGGTGGGGCCTAAACAGGAAATAGCAATTTTACCCAATGAAAGTCAGGTGAGCAATGCAGGCTATATCATCTCTTATTTGTGATATGGATCTATATCTATATATATTTACATGTTTTACATGTTAAACTCTTTTCTTTGATAATTTAAACGCAATATTACAAAACGGTATCAATTTTTTGAAAATTTTGTATGACAGATAGTCCTTCTCACGCACTCTTGTCATGAAAACTTTGACAATAAATCAATAAAGCAGATTGTGATGTACATTTATCATATTCTATAGTCCTTGTTGTATGATTTCCTCATTCAGATTTATCTCCTTATTTCATGCATCAAAATAGAAGCAAATACAAGTTAATTGGGAAGTTTGTTGAATTTTCATGCTGTCTTGGTTGAGAATCATGATATATCTTATCATATCATTCCTTTTGTTCAGTAAAAACCCTCTAAAAACAGATTCAAGGATGAAAATATAGATTACGTTCTACCTTTTTTGAATACTAATATCAACAAGACACTGGACTGTAGGGTAAAGGAAGATATATATATATACAAGAATTTTACTCCTCATCATTTACTTGGACAAATAGAATATGGCCGTCCTAACTTACAGGTGTATTGAGGCATGGAAGGTTATTTCAAACTCTTAGAACAGCTTATAAACTTTAAACACACGTTTACAATTGTGGCATGTCTGATGTACTTTGTTGAAAATAAAATCAGTATTTTGTATAAAATATTTTCTTGTTTTTGTAAAGAGAGCCTTTTTTTTAAAGAAAACTGTTTGATCCTATTTAGTGAATGAATGTTGACTACAGATGATATTTTAGTTGAATATCCTAAGTCTCTTTTTCATATTAATCTTTGTAATAACCATATCTTCTGGTAGATTCCACAATTGTAGGTCAACATCCCCCTGTCTCACTGCAAAGTGAGTGAAAATTTTATTTCACATGATAGTAATCTGTAGACTCAGTATCACAGTAAAGTCTGTGCATTGAATGTTTCTTTTGTTGAATTTTGGGGCTTTTTAACTGATGATATTTGTGGGACTTCAAGTTACATCTAAATCAGATTATATTTAGGAAAGTTAGAGCACAAAAACTGACCGACGAAAGAAAAGAAAGGATACCTAATTAGTATGCATAGATATTAACAGATGATACTGATTGCTGAACTCATTCTTATTTGCCCTAAAATGCATCTGCTGACCAAGTTTCATCTAAATCAGATTATATTTAGGGAAGTTAGAGCATGGAAATGAACCGACCAATGATATCAAAGGATACCTTATCAGTATGCATAATTTTTAACAGATGACACTGCTAGTCAAACTCAGTCTTAATGATCCCAACATGCATCTGCTGACCAAGTTTCACCAAAATTGGATGATATTTGGGGAAGTTAGAACACGGAAACGAAAGTGTGACAGACAGACGGACAAACCAAAATTAATATCCCCCGTTTCTGTGAAAGCTGGGGATAATAAGTTGACCTGATCCACCTTCAACTGTTCAATTATGTTGTAATTGTCTCCATTCAGTATAAATATTTTCTAGATTTCAATGTTGCTTAGAACCATTCAATGATGGACAGAAATGTTTGAGGCCCCATATCTGTGGCATTTTTTATTTCTTTGAAAACCGGCCAGGTTGTGCTGATGTACTTGGGCAGTACACTTTTACCTAGTTGCTCTTGATGATATACAACAGGTCTCTTGTATCTTGCCCAGTGATGTAGTCACTAGATACAAGGACTCCCTGCCTCAAAATAACCCTGGCTTCTCAACCCAGCAAAAGAAAAAGAATGTTTAAGGGACAATAAAAAGGTTAGAAACCAGACTCGCTATAGAACAAGAAACACCAAATACCACAACGACACAGGCAATATTCTTGTATATATTTATTTATCTATTACAGTTGGATTGTATCACTATTTGTGAAGTAAACTGGCTAATACCAAACAATAGTTCTATACAAAACACGATCTTTTGTATTACTGTTGACAAGTATTGCTTGTGAAAATAAACCTGAAGCAGGTGATATGGATCTCCATAAATTTTTTTACCATGTGGTTACATCAAAAATGCAAATACATATTTCAAAGACATAAATAATACAACAAAATTACATGCATTAAATTTCTTTTTCCTGACAGAGTTAGAAAATATAACTTCAATAAAATGTTCTCTTCAGACAAATGTTTGAAATCAATTAAAACAGAAAGTAAGAAAAGATAAAGGCTTCCTCCTTGGAATGAAATAGGGATTTGATGATAAATAGGTCATTCTTTTATGTGCAACCTCTCTTGGATGACACGGGAACAAGGTATGATTTATATGAACCTGTATGATACAATATATCTTGTAGTAATCAGGAAAATATAACACAGATTTACCACAAAATCAATTTTAGGGCTGTCAATTTATGCAGAGCAAACGATTCAATCATTATAAATAAACATTTCCAGCATCAATCCTTATGGTATCATTTAAAGAGGTCAGGCCTGGTAATTCTTCTGTCAGGGCTTGACGCGACAGTCAGACTAGGGTCTAACTAGTCAAACAATAAAGAACAAAATATTAAAATGAAAATCGCCTCCATTTTTTATAATAAAAGATCAGAGATCATGAAGATTGAATAAAGTGGACAGAAAGGTTTTTAAAAAAGAAAAAGAGCAGTTGAAGCGTTAGAGAGGAAGAGCAAGCAGTGACAGATCATTACCACTACTTTGACAATATTTTGGACAGGATTATGTTCTGTAGTACCAGTACCAAACTGCTCTATCACTAAAGAAGGAAGTTATAGAGTGAACAATATAAAAAGGAAAGCACACAGTGCAGAGAAAATATACAAACATTACTTCATTTCTTGATCAATATGATCAATACTCATCAAAATACATATAACCGTTTTCCCCTTTAATATCAAAGCATGAATGTCTGGGGTGCGGGGCACTGTCAATGAAAGTTTGAAAAAGATTACATATCCAGTTGGATAAGCAATAGAATTTTTATATACGAGAAAAACATCAGATTTTGACAAAGATATTCCATGTAAATTACCTCCCCATCTATGTTTCAGCGTTTAAAAAAAAAATGGGCACAACTCATCCTCTCTCACACACATCTTTAATAATTTATTTTTTCACATAAATTTGATCATGGTATCAAAATACTACAATCTTTTCTGCACCAATAGATAGATTTTGCCTTTAGAAATTTGACTTAAGAGTGGGGAAATGCAGGACGAGGGATTGTTTTAATATAAAGATCTCTCTTAAGATTATTACAAATTTCAAATAGAATAATACAATTTTTTATTACAATAATTACATATTATTTTTTTAGGGATATTTCGTGATGAAATTCAGATATCTACAAATGAAAAAGTTATCTATAAATGAATTCAACAGAATAACATGCCTGCTTAAGTCTAGATTCAAATACATATATCTACTACATGACTTATCCTGAAGGTATAGATGGAATCTGAATAGTTTCAAAATAATTTCATTCTTTAAATAACTTCAATTCAAACTCCTTCAAATATCACTCCTATCACTTCAGGTTGCTTAAAGTAAAAAATAATCTGTAAAACTGATGGAGGCATTAACAATCCAATGAACACACAATCTAATTCAGGAATGTTGTTCCTGGTTTCATAATTGGAGAGTCCCAGTGGGCAGAGCTTGTGCGCTTGTTGAAGCGGGCCTTCTTCTTATTGAAGAGTAGGTTTAAATCTGGTGGATCAATAGGTCCAAACAGCTGTGGGAGGTTTGGTGGATGGTAGTGTTGGTTGATAAGAGAAGCCTTCAAATTGGGACCTGCAAAAAATATTGGAATTAGAGAATGTCTACAAGAAAGTCATGGTGACATTGAAACAAAATTCATCTGAGGTATTCTTATATAGTTTGGCCTTTTGAAAATTGATAAATAGCCAATTTTATGACCCCAATAAAACTGTTGGGGCATGGCATCTTTATACCTTTCAATACAAATATGGAAATGGTGATGAGACAAATTGAATTAAAGCATGCCAAGTTTTAAAGAGATGTGTGGAAAACAAAGAAATCTGGCTTAATGATTTGTATCTGTATTATAGACCATTTATGTCAACTTTACAGATATAACAGATGACATATTCTCCAAAATGTATGTTTATCCAAACTACATGTGCATGAATGAATATTCCTTAGCACTTAAATAACACTTAAAAGTCTATTTAAAGCATTAACAATTTTGAAGCTTGACCCTGCTTTAACCACAAATTTAATTTCATTGGCTTTAATATATCAAATATTCATACAAACCTTGAGCCCATGCAGGTATCTTTCTTCTGGGTTTCTCATCATCATCAGTAGAGTCGTCCGATTTCATATCAGTTATGTCGTAGTTATCACTGTTTCTTGAATATTTCCTCACTGGAGTCATCTCATATCTAAATAATAACAAACAAAAAACCATGAAAAGTGAATACAAGGTAAATAAGAGAGCCATCCAATCCCTAAACAACAAAGACTATTGTATAAGCTGTAATCTCTAAACAACAAAGACTATTGTATAAGCTGTAATCTCTAAACAACAAAGACTATTGTATAAGCTGTAATCTCTAAACAACAAAGACTATTGTATAAGCTGTAATCTCTAAACAACAAAGACTATTGTATAAGCTGTAATCTCTAAACAACAAAGACTATTGTATAAGCTGTAATATTGTATAAGCTGTAATCCCTAAACAACAAAGACTATTGTATAAGCTGTAATCTCTAAACAACAAAGACTATTGTATAAGCTGTAATCTCTAAACAACAAAGACTATTGTATAAGCTGTAATCCCTAAACAACAAAGACTATTGTATAAGCTGTAATCCCTAAACAACAAAGACTATTGTATAAGCTGTAATCCCTAAACAACAAAGACTATTGTATAAGCTGTAATCTCTAAACAACAAAGACTATTGTATAAGCTGTAATCTCTAAACAACAAAGACTATTGTATAAGCTGTAATCCCTAAACAACAAAGACTATTGTATAAGCTGTAATCTCTAAACAACAAAGACTATTGTATAAGCTGTAATCTCTAAACAACAAAGACTATTGTATAAGCTGTAATCTCTAAACAACAAAGACTATTGTATAAGCTGTAATCTCTAAACAACAAAGACTATTGTATAAGCTGTAATCTGTAATCCCTAAACAACAAAGACTATTGTATAAGCTGTAATCTCTAAAAACAACAAAGACTATTGTATAAGCTGTAATCCCTAAACAACAAAGACTATTGTATAAGCTGTAATCCCTAAACAACAAAGACTATTGTATAAGCTGTAATCTCTAAACAACAAAGACTATTGTATAAGCTGTAATATTGTATAAGCTGTAATCCCTAAACAACAAAGACTATTGTATAAGCAACAAAGACTATTGTATAAGCTGTAATCAAAGACTATTGTATAAGCTGTAATCTGTAATCCTAAACAACAAAGACTATTGTATAAGCTGTAATCCCTAAACAACAAAGAATATTTTATAAGCTGTACTCTCTAAACAACAAATACTATTGTATAAGCTGTAATATTGTATAAGCTGTAATCCCTAAACAACAAAGACTATTGTATAAGCTGTAATCCCAAAGACTATTGTATAAGCTGTAATCCCTAAACAACAAAGACTATTGTATAAGCTGTAATCTCTAAACAACAAAGACTATTGTATAAGCTGTAATCCCTAAACAACAAAGACTATTGTATAAGCTGTAATCCCTAAACAACAAAGACTATTGTATAAGCTGTAATCCCTAAACAACAAAGACTATTGTATAAGCTGTAATCAAACAACAAAGACTATTGTATAAGCTGTAATCTGACTATTGTATAAGCTGTAATCCTAAACAACAAAGACTATTGTATAAGCTGTAATCCCTAAACAACAAAGACTATTGTATAAGCTGTAATCCCAGACAGGAATCCCTAAACAACAAAGACTATTGTATAAGCTGTATCCCTAAACAACAAAGACTATTGTATAAGCTGTTCCCTAAACAACAAAGACTATTGTATAAGCTGTAAAACACAAAGACTATTGTATAAGCTGAAATACATCTCTAACATAACAAAGACTATTGTACTGTTCAATGTATAAGCTGTAATCTGTAATCTCTAAACAACAAAGACTATTGTATAAGCTGTAATATTGTATAATCTGACATGTGATGGATGTTGTCAGGGTTTTTGTAATTTGCTGAATTTACAAGTCTAAATTGGTTGACTGTGACATGTTTTTAATGTTATCACAGTTTCTGTAACTTGCTGTACTTACGAGTCTAAATTGGTTGACTGTGACATGTTTTTAATGTTATCACAGTTTCTGTAACTTGCTGTACTTACGAGTCTGAATTGGTTGACTGTGACATGTTTTGTGTAGTGTTTATAAACGTAGGTTTAGGCAGTGGAGCCTTTTTGACCTGGGTTGGAGCTGTTACACTGGCATTGTGTTTAGCTATCAGGTTCTGTAGTTCAGCAGCCTGCCTCTTCTGTTCTTCTTTCTGTTTATCCCATTTCTCCTGTTGTTTTCTGGCCTTTAAAATACAAAGTATCTTTTTTTAAAAGAGTAGTTACAACACATCTGAATGTCAAAAAAAGAGAGCAAAACAGTCTTTCTATGGTTTAACCACAAGATTTATGTGTATGTTTATAAACGTAGGTTTACAAGCAGCCTTTTCCTGGGTTGGAGCTATAAATTTGTTTAATTTTATTAAAAATCCTGCCTGTTTTCTTTCTGTTTATCTGTGTGATATATTTAAATATATATATATAAAAGAATTGTTGATGGAAAATGAGTTAACATACTCCAAAGTCTTATCAAAGAAATGAAGCTAAATATCAAGACAGATGCCTATGAACCACATGTAGGTTTTTGTAATTATCAAGTTGGAAATGGAAATAAATCTCATGTATTGTGTGACAAAATTTCAAAACCGATTGTTTGAAAGTTCATACAAGTAAGTCAGTGGTTAGTGAACATTTTTTCAAATGGAAAAAAAGCACTTTCACAGCAATCCAAAACACTCAAATTTCAAATGAATCAATTTATTCTCTCAAAACAAATACTCCCAATTTTGTTCAGTTCAAATCTGAAAATGTTCATTTACAATGGGTTTACTCTAACCGACATTTGAACAACCAGGCACCAATGTCTAAAGTTCTGAACTCCATAAGTTTAATTTCAACCATTTCAATTCACTGCCTTCATGTCTCCACCACATGCTTGGTACCTAAATATACCTTGCACAATCAATCAGTAGTCTTTCAGAAAGTACATACCATTTCTTTCTGTTTTTCTAGATTCTTTTTCAGTTGGAGTTCTCGTTCTTTCCTTTTCTCAAGTTCTAGTCTCTCTTTCTCTGCCTGGGCCAAAGCTGCAGCCTTTTCCCTGTAACAAAAAATAACATTTCAACATCCTTAGTATTTGAATGGATTCCCTGTTACATGTTTTTCACAACATTAATGTTACTTCTATAACATCAAATACACCATGTGATTTCACTTCATAAATAAAATATCCTACTGCAAAACAAAATCCTCATAGTTTGCAATATCCTGCCCAACTGAAAATATTCAGAAGAGCATTTGGGAATTAGTTCAAAAAGATATGTTTTCACATAAAACAAGGGTCGCCTTAGACAGGTTATGCTCCCAGAATAGGACAAAAGTAAGAAAAATAACAAAGGGCAATAACTCCAAAATTATGAAAAATAGAGTGATGGTTCTTGCGCACTGAACTTTTCCTTGTTCAGATCTATATACCTATGAATTTTCATGGTGAGCTCTTATAGGTTTAGTGTAATGCTCCAGATCAAATTTAAGTAGGATTCCCTTGTAATCTTTCCTAATTATGCAAAAGAGAGTGATGGTTCTTGTGCACTTTTTATCTATGAAGTTTTTGTGCTATACTCTGAACAGTCAAAGGGCAGACTATATGCTCTCATTTCAGGATTCTATCCCAAGAAATGTCTTTAACAGAAGCAGATACTGTTTGGTTAAGCAATTGTCACTGTATCAATAGTGTGACAACACACAGCACTATTCTCCGCTGTTAACTCTCTGCTATGTTCTACCTTTGTTCTCTCAGTCGCTGTCTTTCTGCTTCTTTCTGTCGCTCCTCTTCTAATGCCAGTTTCAGCCTTTCCTGTTCAGCCTGACGTTCACGTTCTACCTGGGCAGCCCTCTCCTCCTGACGACGGCGCTCCTCTAAAATCAATCGCTGCCTCTCTCTCTGTTCCTGTTCCTTCTTCTTAGCCTGTAAATCTTTCAGCCTCTTTTCTTCTTCCTCCTATACAATGTGAACAGATAATCAGTTTCCTCTTTCAATATTTTTTTTGTCAATAAATCTCTTTCTATATCACTGAAGAAGTCCATCATCTCTGTACTTCTGTGGCGATTTCACTCTCACCACAATACAGGAGTTATCAATTTTAATGATCTCCAAATCATTAAGGTTTCCCAGCAATTTTTGTTTGCATTTTCTTTCTTATGAGATCTAAGTCTATGCAAAACTTCATGTGGCTGATAAAACACAAAAATTATGGAGGAATGGATCACATTTTAATTTGTTTATACCTGTTCCTTCAATTTTCGTAATCTTTCTTCTTCATCCAACTTTCTCCTTTCCTCTGCTTCTTGCATCTTTTTCAACCTTAAAGATAAATAGACAGATACTAACTGCACAGCTAAAAGTTGAGGTCCATATCCAATGTAAGATTAATTTCAACTAAATGTGACAGGATACCATGAATGTCAGATAATTAATTTTGCGTAGTATTATACAGACCTTATCCTTTGTTTCTCTCGTTCCTCCCTCATTTTCTCCTCTCGTAAGTTTTCTGTCTGTTGTAACTTTTCTTCACGCTGTCTCTGAAGTTTGTTCTTCAGATCGATGTCATGCTTCTGTAACAGCTGTCTCTGATCAGCTGCCTTTTTCATCCTCTCTTCCCTTTTCCTGAAGATGTTTCAACAATGTAATAAAGATTTTACCATGGCAAAGTAACGAGAGAAATGATAAATTCTAAAAAGATCATATCATGAATGTCAGTTTAATCAGATAAGGACCATCTATGCTGTTCTCTTACATGTTTTTCCTAAGGCTTGTCTGGCCCAAAGTGAATAATAACTTAAGCTGTAGTTTATACATTTCGTGTTGCATTTGTGAGGTGTGTTTATCGAGAAGAAAACATTAAACAAATGAAATTAACACTTCCATCTATTTTATATGATTTTACTCTCATGACTCAACATGAACTTATCATTAAGGGAAAACCTATCACACAATAACTAAGCCAAATGAAGAAGTGTTCATACTTGCGCTGCTCTTCAATCCTGATCTTCAGTAAGGCATCTCGCTGTTGCAGTCTTTGTTCGTCCTTTTTCTGCTTTTCACTCAGTTCTTTCTTACGCAGCTCTTGTTGCTCCTGTAGACAATATCAAATCAAATATCAATGCAAAAATAAATGTTAACAACAGTTAAATACAATGAATTTGTTACAAGATCAGTATTGAAATGTCACCAATTTTACTACAAACTGCATCGTAAAATAAAGCCATTTAAGCTTCAATAAATCCATCAACAAATGAAAGAGCTCATTTTTTTACCTTCCTGTTTTGACTTCAAAACTTCAAAAAAAAAAGTCTCAAAATACATAATTGAATGTGATGAAAATCCTTTATGTGCTTATTGAAAGTGTGTTTGAAATCTTATAAAGTAAAATGAAATATTTTTGAAGGCATTCTTGCAAGTCAGCATGATCCACCAACATTTCCTATTTTGTACATAAAAAATAGCATCTTAACATCCCTAACCTGTGATTGTGCTGACTTAATTTGTCTGACTTATAAACAAACTTCATACCCATTTAACACTACCAAGATTTGTTGCTGTCAAAGTATCGTCTCAGAAAAAAGTATTAAACAAATTTCACATTAATGCAAATGCTGAGGCAGGACCTATCAAAACTTATCTACAGACTACATATAAAATGAAAATCAGGTACCTTTATAGTCAGTTTGGCAGGAGAATTTTTATTTTTGATGAAGGACTTCATTATTCCTGTTGACAAAGCGGACGGTGGCAGGACCTTTGATAAATTGTTTACAAACGAAGGTGGTTTTGCAGAGGGCTGAAAGACAAAGAAATGACCATTACTTGTTTAGTGTCGCTTTATAGCAATATCTCCCGGATTTGTACCAATTTCATTGTTGCCATGATGGTGAAGGATTGCTGTTCCCTACATCTGTTTTTACTTAAATATTTATTGTAGAAAACATGGACTTGTAGAACTTTTCTCACAGATTTATAAACAAATTACGCAGAGGAATCTTAATAGTTTATTACATTATAATGATATGGGCTAAGGGGCTATAACAGCTGTAGTGCCTGCCAAAACTTCAGTATTACCCAGCCAACAAGTAAATACTTAAATACACTGTCAAGATATCGAAGCTGCTAGCCGAGCTATGTACCTGAAGAGAGGCAACTTAACTATTTACTGCCAAATAGAATTCTTGGGGGACTTAGGAATTACATAATGAAGTAAAATGCCCAAATTGAAGATGTACCACAGCTGAAATACCCCCATGAAATTATTGTAAGAAACTTGGACATAGAACTTTTCTCACAGAATTATTCTCCAAATAAAAATTTTACTCAACTTTAATTTTTAGAATAAATACATACCGTTAGTTTCTCTGCAGATCCAGTGTCACTGTTGTCACTACAAATACACAGGACATAGGTGTTATCATTTCATCTGGGAGGTTCAGACACTAAAAATCCTACTTTCGCTGTATTGCATAGATCTTAACTTGTTCCATTAGACATATAGATAAAAAGATTAAATGCTTGGCATGTTAAGTATAAACACTAAATCATCTATTAAACAATATATCCTTTAAACTAGGAAGATAATTAGTAGCAAAGTCATCATTAGGAATATTGCTGTTGAAAGGGTTTGTTTCTTTATATCCATAACAAGTTTTACAAAACAAATGCTGCTGCCTTACCTGGATTTTGGTGTTGAAATTTCCCTGTTTGAAAAATCTGGAAGTTGAAAAGAACATTGTTTTTATTATATAGATAGTTAATAATATAGCATTCTCGACTGTTCCTGTAAAACCCCACTTGACCTAAGAACTCCAAAACAAATATCTCCTATTCATGGTCTGCTTCCCTGTCTATAACTTTTAAGAAAATTATCAATTAAATTCTATGGCTGGTACCTAAAAACAAAACAAAGTCCTGGTAAGGGAAAAACATATTACTGGAATAGCCCTCTATAGCCAATTAAATATGATTATGAAAAAAATTAGTTCAAATTAAAACACATTTTGTTAAGCATTCTTTTTCCTTTCCTCAATCATTATTGTTATAAAACTTATTTGACAGGGTTCTCTACCTTGAATATAATGTCATAATAGATATATGAATGTTTTATTACCAGCACTGCTGTTACATAGCCTCTCCAACTGTTCAAATGAATCTTCCACCTACAAAAACAAACAAAATCATTATCAAAACAAGGTAATATAAATGATATTGCTACTTTCCTGATGAAGAATACGTCAAGAGTGTGGTGATCTTTTTATATCATTGTGGTATGTTTCTTCATAATACCGAGTTTCAAATTGATTGCAAGTGTTACTGAAATTGATCAAGGGTAAATTTTTTCAGAATTTTTTACATGGAAGAAGACAAACTTCTTTTAAGTAAAACCAAACTACATTATATCAAAACGCAAACAAAACATGAAAGTAACTGCAGGAAACAAGGTTTCCATGAAACTTTTGGCTGAATTAAACCTAGCAAATCAAAACAATTTGGATTAGTAATAACAATTTTCTATGTCTGAAACTTAAGAAGGTTTATATCACCAATTTCTAAAGTCAAAGATAAATTTTGCAACTTACACAACAAAGTGTGTAGTAATCACATGGTAAATGTTATTCTGAAGTAAATTAACAAGTGTTACCTGTGATATAGAGTGTTCTGTACAGGACTTTTTAGATATTGACTCATCAGCACTATTGTCCTCATCCAACTGTCTTTTCCTTGTCTTTGTTCTGATTGAATGAAATATTAAAATTCAGCAAAGTATTCAACAAATCAATCCAATCAAAATGGTCTACACAATCATCAATGACATGAAATGTTCAAAGGGATAGAATCAAAATGGTCTACACAATCATCAATGACATGAAATGTTCAAAGGGATATAATCAAAATGGTCTACACAATCATCAATGACATGAAATGTTCAAAGGGATATAATCAAAATGGTCTACACAATCATCAATGACATGAAATGTTCAAAGGGATATAATCAAAATGGTCTACACAATCATCAATGACATGAAATGTTCAAAGGGATATAATCAAAATGGTCTACACAATCATCAATGACATGAAATGTTCAAAGGGATAGAATCAAAATGGTCTACACAATCATCAATGACATGAAATGTTCAAAGGGATATAATCAAAATGGTCTACACAATCATCAATGACATGAAATGTTCAAAGGGATATAATCAAAATGGTCTACACAATCATCAATGACATGAAATGTTCAAAGGGATATAATCAAAATGGTCTACACAATCATCAATGACATGAAATGTTCAAAGGGATAGAATCAAAATGGTCTACACAATCATCAATGACATGAAATGTTCAAAGGGATATAATCAAAATGGTCTACACAATCATCAATGACATGAAATGTTCTAAGTGAAGTACAGAACTGAAGGCAGACTTTCAAACACTGAGAACAAAAGGCATTAGCACATACCTTGTAGATCGCATCGGAGGTGCATCTGGCATCAAAAATGGGTCATCCCCCTCATCACTACTGACAGACATAGGTGCAGCTCTTGGTTTGCGTGCCTTCGAGCGTGTACTTTGACGAATCTGACTATTTCCATCAACTTCCATCACCTCATCATCAGCAGACGAAGCAGATAAAGCAGCAGTATTTTTCCTCTGCTTGGTCCGAGAACTGGTCCTAAGAGGTGGTTCAGAGGAACTGTCCCCTAAATCAGAAGTTGTTGAAGCAGTTGATGCAGTTTGTTTTCTCTGCTTTGTTCGAGTACTCTGCCGAACTGGCACAACTTCTTCTTCTGCCATTCTCTCATCATCAGCATCACTGTCATCCACAGAACTTGTAGCAGCATTTGGTTTACGCATCTTTGATCGTGTGCTTCTTGTGATATCACTGTCTTTTCCCAAGCCAGAGTCTCTATCAAGTGCTAAATCATCATTGGAAGACACTGATGATGTAGCCGTGTTCTTGCGTTGCTTGGTCCGTGTATTAGCACACACTGGCTTCTTATTTACACTGGCTGTATCAGACGACACATCAGTGGGTGAAGTCTTTTCTTTAAGAGGAGAACTTTCACTGACCTCATTATTAATATCCTTAGCATTGAATGTTGACCTACCCCTTTTCCTACCGGCATTATTTTTCTCACATGCTTCGCTATCTGGATCACTCTTTTTCACATCATCTATATCTGAAAGTTGTTCAATATCAGAATCTTCAACATAAACTATCTTAAGGTTCTGAACCACTTCTTCATAAAACCATTCATCTTCATTACATGAAGTCTTTGGCGTATCAAGCACTTTGTCTGATTGGTTACTTTGCTGTTGACAACTAGCACTGTTGTCATTTTCCTCTCCTCCTGACGAATTGCTTGTCTTTGACAATTGTTGACTGGAAACAACTGAGGAATCATCAACTGGGATCTGGAAAGAAAAGAAAGAGAACTTGATTAATTTCTTTCATATTGAATATAATGTAACAGACTGAAAATAACATGTCAACTCCTAATCAAATAAACGTGAGCTGTTTGCTCACAGCTTGCTTATTGATTCACAAATATGCCCCATTTTAGACACAAAAAGAGAGAGAGAAAATGGGTTGGCATATTGATGCTTGAAATATTTAATAATCAACAACCCCTTGACATTCGTGATATGATACCGATTAAAAAAAACTTGCTAAAGGAAAATTAATATCAATTAGCTAATTTGGGTTATATGATTGGACTATATTTAGAATGAAATATTAACAGTATGACTTTATGAGGAGATACTATATACAGATTACAAAATAAAATTAAAAAACAAAAAAAAGGATTACTTCAGAACGATTAAACTCTTGCATTTTTATTTTGTGAATCAATTTCATTTGGCAAAGAAAATTAAGCTTGGAAAATCTTTTGGCACAAGAATTTTAAAAGCTTGTGTAAACTCTGGCTTACTTTCCTGTATGACCTTACCATTACTGTTTAATTTGCGTAAAGCAAAAAATCAGAAATTACAAGCATAAACATGACATTGTCATATATATAAGATTTCTTGTCCAGATTTTTGTTTTTTTTTTGTTTGGACAGAATTGATCAGATACACATGGAAATAGAAAATATGGATATTAGATTACTGGGATGTTATTGTCATACAACTGTAGAAGCATAATCAGTCTTTCCTTAAACAAGCAATATGCAGGAAGTTTAAAATGAATTAACAAGATTCTTATATTACGAGCTTTAAGAGAGAACAAAACAATCCTTACATGAAACAAAATGTCTTACCTCTTTTTTCTTCAACTTTAGTTTCGTGTGGACAACTTTTCTTTCAGTAGTCTATAGAACAAAGAAAAAGGGATGTTTTAAACACAATCAACATTAAATTTCAACAACTACAGGTACAAAAGAGGCTTCTAAAAGAAAGCGAACCCAAAAATGAGAGAGAAAAGTAATTGTTTTACAATGCTTCATAAACTGCATTGAAAATGAAGATCAATGAACCGGATATGTATATCTGAGATCATTTTAAGATACTAATACAACTATATTTTATCAGATCTGTACTGTAAATACATTTTTTTTGCCTAGTATGAAAAAAATTGACATCGCACTTCCCTATTGATCAATCTACCCATCCCAATTATCCACAACATGACCTTAACTGTATTAACTTGTTTGGACAAGCAAAGTTTCAGAGGAAATATCCTTGTTCAAAATAACTCCCAGAAGCTTAAATAATAACACAGAAATTAGTGGAGATTATTGGTAGCTAAAGGAAATTTTGGTATAAAACAGAATTTGAGTGACATTCAACAACCCTACTGCTGCTAAACTTACAGCTGTATCTTTTAGGAATCCTTCAGTACTGGGAGAATCTTGGTTTACGATAGCAGTAGAAGCCATGGCAGGAATCTGTAATTGGCTTCTTAGTTTTGTCATTTCCAATTTACTTTGAGACGCAATCATTTTCAATGATTTCCTTAAGCTTGCTCTGGATGTCCTTCGTGACCTTCTGCAGGTAGATGACCTTCGGGAACTTTGACGGCGTTCCTTGGGTCCAGTATGAGCTAATGGGGTGAGAGTTGTGTTTGGGGTCTCTGTAACATTTGATGGATTATTATTGTTGCGTGACGGCGTTACTACAGAAGATACTAATACTTGTTTTTCTGGTCCTTTGACAGTGTCTGGTGTAGAAACATTGTTGTTCTGTTCAGGAGTCTCTGGTACAGGTATCGTTTCCTCGTACAAATTTGATTCGACTGCACTGTACAGCTTCTTTTGTGTGACAGGAGTTGTGGAGCAGCTATTATTATTTTTGGGGGTTGTTGTGCAGCTATTGTTTTGTGGTGTTGTAGGACTACTCAACTCCATCAAGTCCTCAAACACAAGAACTTTATCCTTTACATGACCTGGCCCAGCCTTCTTCATACAAGGACCTGTCACAGTATGTTTACGTAGGGGTGACATTTTAATGGGCATCACATTGGGCATTGATTTAGGTATATGAAGTCTATCATTTTCTGGTGTGCTTTCAAGCACAGGCTCAGAGTTCTCTTTTTCTATAACTTTCGTAATTGACAATTGTGGGCCATCTCCAGAAACCTTCTTTTTCTTTCGTGTCTGAGAAGCTTTACTGGAGGAGCTTGAAACTGTTCTTGATGCAGCACGTCGCTGTGGACGTCTTCTAGGTTGTTCTTCTTCAACATCTGTTTCATCATTGTCTCGTAAACTGAAAATACAAAATTCAGGACGATCAAGACTTTAAACTACTTTTTTAAAAATAATGTTTCTACATAACTAAAAATGAAAAAAATAAATATAGAAAATTACACAGGTTGATTATCATTATTTTGTTATAAATAACTTTTTCGTTAATCAATGAGGCTGAATTAGCTCTAGCAGAAATAAATTTTGATTTCAAGGAAAATACTTAATTCATTGCAAGGATTGCATGCCTCTCTCAAATTTAGCAAAACAATTTGTTTTAAGCAGATGAACCCCAAGAAGAATTTCTAACAAGATTCAAAACCAAATACTCATCACAAATTTTTTGTAATGATAATTTCATGTTAAATAATAGAGGTAACATCTTTTGCTGATGTTGTTTTACTTTATAACTAAAGTTGAAAAAAATTGTATTTGGTTCACATTTCATTTACAATTTTATTGATATAATGGATGACAAAACATTTCAAATAATAATTTAAGAAGAGAAAAAAAAATTAGAGAAAACTGTTTATCTTTTATATTTTGTTCATTTTCAAACATTTCATTATTTGGAAAGCATTTTGTCTCCAAAATTTCTGAGTAGGTAAGCCTACCTTTTTTTGGATGGTTGTTCAAAAACATCACTGCTGTCACGTTTTTTGGTTTTCTTTTTGCTTCTCTTAACTGTAGGCGTCTTTGGCAATAACCTGATGTCTGGTCTGAAATTGTTTCAAAAGAAAAAGCTTTAACACTGAAAATATAAAATGTACAAACAAAACCCAAAAGATAACATATGGAACCATGCGGGATCAACAAAGAGACATTATGCTTTCAATGTTCTTACACTGGTGTTGAGATCCCTACATCTCACAAATAAGGGGTTGAATGATAATTTTCTCTTACCCTGCTAGCCTTGTTAGGTATGTGTTTTTGTTGTCCCAGTGCTTTGCATCATTAACAGGAATTCATATTTACCAAAGAATTATAGATTTGTCGATATGATATCAATGAATTGTTATTGGACTTTTTACCATCATCCTGACAGGGAAATCCAAAGCCATATCCCACATCCCTTGTTTGAAAAACAAGAGGCCCAAGGGTCTTAATGGTCACCTGATATACAATACTTATTGTAACATATCTTATAAATGATATTTGCTAACTTGTGGGTCAGTCAAAGTCAATATATGAATATCATCAAAATGTCAGCTTGTACCGATACTTCTAACCAAGTTTGAACTAATTTTACAAGAAAATAGATAAATTATGTTCAAAAATATTATTTTCTTACATAAACTATTATAGGTTTTATCCCCTCCCTTAGGGGAAATATGAGGCCCTTGGGTTATGAAATATACAATTTTGGTAAAGCACCATAAGACACTTTCATATATAAAAAATATTTGGTTCTACTTTATCTGGGACTCCAGAAGAAGATTTATGAAATTTCAGTCAATTTGACCCATTTGACCCCTGAGGGTCAGCTGTGGTCAATATGTACTCATAATTATAACCAAGTCTGAACTATTTCCAAAAAGAAAATGGACAAATTATGTTCAAAATGTAATTTACCTATATGAACTATAGTAAACAGGGGGAAATGTGAGACCCTTGGGTCAAGAAAATTGATAATTTTGGCTAATCTTCTGAAGGCCTTTCCATCCTTGAAATGTATTTGATTCTACCATATCTAGGATTTGAGAAGACCATTTTTAAGTTTCAATCAATTTGACCCATATGGCCCTTGCCCCTCAAGGCTGGGGACCATTACAATTTTCATGAGCGTCTAGCCATGGAAGTTTTTGTGAAATTTCATTGAAAATCAGTTCAGTTTTCCAAAAGTCAAAAATGTTTAAAAGTTTGCAAAACACTATGCCGCACAATAGAGGATTGTAATAGGTCACAGAGACTTTGTCTCAGATGACCTAACGAATTCTTATACTGGTAAAAAGCATGGATACACCTGTCCTGGGTAAGAGAATAATAGAATCTTTCATTCTCTTGAAGATTTAAATATGGTGATCTCTACTCGAGGGGAAAGACAATTAAGTGAGGATTTCCCCATCTCACCAACAAAAGATACCATGATGCAGGGTTTTCCATAAGAGCAAAAAAACATTTTGTTTCTTTCAATATCGAACAAACAGACAGCTGATTAGGTGATTGATTAAGCTCATTGAAAAACCTATTTGATTTTAACCAATAATCAATGATAGATCTTAATTGATTTCCAATCACTATTCTCCAAAATTATTCACCAACATGTAGCCATAATTATAAATGCCCTCATCCAGATCCAGTGTAGTAGAATACAGATGATAACACACACAAAAAAATATATAATATGACCTACAGGGTTTTCCATAAGAACCGGTCGCCGGCCAATTTGACCGGCTACTTTGATCATTTGACCGCCTACACAAATCCAGTTCCGTAATAATGTTCCGTACATGGCAGGCCAGCCTACTTTCACTACACAGCCTACTACTAACAAAATTATGGAAAACCCTGATGATGAGAAAGAGTTATCCAAATTGTTGATATGAAGCAACAATTGCAAGATCTCCATCTGAATTTCATGTAAAGAGGTAGAGAAAGAAATAAGAGATATGATTTTAATTATATTACATTGACTTTTCTTCATGTCTAAGGAAGTACATGGATGCCTACATTTAATCATTTAATGTCTACATGAGTTTAAGCATTCATTACTTTTCAAAAGCTGCTTTGCAATCAGTCACAATATCTTCTAGCCATTGATGGAACTGTCTTTGTTGTTCCACAATTGTCTGGAAATGTTGGTTGATGGATCTGTAGGAATCCAACCCAATGGTATGGATGAATGTTTGTCCTTTGTTCATCCCGAGACTTTTGGCAGTCAATCAGGATGCCACCAAACCTATAAAAGTAAAGAGTTTCTGTTTCTTTCTACATTCCCGTGTAGTAGAGTTTCGTCATCGATCATTATGGTTAAAACTATATCACATCTATTACATACAACTTGAGAAATGAATACGTTGATGTAGATAAGTATTCTTACTAGCGTTCTTCTATGAGAGTGAGCTTACAGGAGCCACATAACTCAACCTGAATTTTCAAAAAAAAAGATTTTTTTTCCTGCACGAACACAAACAAGACTTCACTGGCGGGAATAACATACAAACTAAACAGTATACAATTTCAGCAGTGGTATAAAACGGTATAAAAACGTTGCCATCTAAAAATTAGGGTTGCTAGATTATTATATAGTGCTTTAAAGCTTACAACAATCCAACATAATTTTGGGAAAAAAGATTTCAGGATCATAACAACAACATATTTAGCTATTTAAAGTGTTCCCTTTACCTCCACTGCAGTCGTTTGAATTTCCTTCTGAATATCACGAACAAATTATTGACCAATCAACACGCGAGGAAATAAGCGGAGCTAGCATACTACGAAACTACAGCTAATCATAGAAATAATGTGGTACAACGATAGACTAAATGCATCAAATTTCAAGTCAAAATGTACATACTGAATTTAGAATGTTTAATAAAGTCTTAATATCATACTATTACAAAACATCGAAACCAAAACGATGAATCTGCATCATTCACTTCCGCCATTTTGACATGAAAACATCCTGTGGAAGAAACTCCCTCAGCGATGTCTAGGAACAATGAAGCAAACTCCTTCAGCCAGAGTTACAAACTGGTTGTAGTAGGAGGTGGAGGTGTGGGCAAAAGTGCCTTAACCATACAATTTATTCAGGTTAGTGGAATCATCATTCATTTCCATCGCGATTTTTTACTTCCGTTCATCATTTTCAGCAAGACTCTTAAGAGCTCGTCAGCTGATCGGCCACATACGTTATATTGGCCTATGCTTAATTTGTTTTCGTTACGCTGTAGATGTTTTTTTAGATTAACATTTCTGAAAAAAAATCAATTAAATATAGTATCACAGCACGCACCACTGCGTTCTTACGGTATCGTATGACGGATGTGTTATTGGAAAAAATTATTGTTTACTTCGCCTAGTTGTCCGTCTAGCTAGACCTGCTCACGAGTGTGGTGACCGGCTGCCGGCACGCAGTAAATGACTTACGTCGGTTTGAGATGCCATGCCGAGTTCGTAGCCACCAACAATACCGTTATATAAATAAACATGCATCATTCTAATTTTAAAACGTACATATAAATTACCAGTTAGGCTACAGAGGTTTTACCGTAGCATTATATCAAGGTATGAAATGATTTTCCAATATATCAATGTTTTTTTCAAAAGGTAAAATCATATTAGCAGATCACTGAACGAATTTGATATAAATGCAGATGAAATTGATCATCACTATAAACGATATGTCCTGCATATTGAAAAAAAAATCTTATGCCCAACACTAACTTCTGTGATACAATAGAGCGTTTAATGGTTGATATAAAATTGGTTGTAGGATGCTTCCATTCACTTTTTTGATACCACATATCACAACTGAAAGTAAATTTGATTTTACTTGTCAAAAGCAAAAACAAAATTTCATAAAAGTATAGCCTATGGTATGTCATTGTACATGACATGCATAGTTAAGCTACAGAGTACAAGTTGTTCATGTAGTTATTTGAGGGACTTAAATTGATGACTTAATTTAATTGATCCATTCATTTGCTTTTTAAAGTGATTTAAAGTATTCTGAAACGCAAATGAAGTTTATTCTCAGTGGCTTGCAATGCATCATGCTATGGTTTACAGTATTAGAATGAGTTGTAAAAAACTCAAAACACCACTTACTAATTTATAAATTCAGTTTGGTCCTTTGCATTGTTTCCAACTATCTTTCATTACATTAAAGTCCAATGAAGCATTACATATAGTCTAAATTTCCTCTTGCCCCAAAACCAGAAAGTCTAATGTGTGACATTTCATATGTCCAACAGAATACCAATCTTCAAGACAGTAGTGTTTTGGCCAGAAGACACTTGACTACCCCTGATATTTAATTGTTTGTAAAAGAAAAACCACAAAGTTAGCTGTTTCTCTGCTAATAACTTCCTGGTTTCACATTCAGTAATCAAACATTTTTTTTTTTGGCCATTTAAATACTGAATGGTTTCACTATATTTCTTCCTGAATCATTACAAATGGAAAGATTTTTTCTTCCTTACCTCAGGTGCATAGTCTTTATATGCCACACGGAAACAATTCTGTTGACTTATCAAGATACATGTATCAGTATTTCACACAAACACTGAGAGTTTAACTAGCTTTTCTTCAATCTTATTCATTAACAGTAAATCAGGAGTGGAATTGTACTTCCTTAATTCATCAGATTCATGTACATAAAAAAGGTCACACAGGTCACTTAGTTCAAGTTCAGAGGACCAATTGTAATTACCTTTTACCATGCCATAGCCCTGCAACTTCTGTCCATCATCTACTTTTTCTTTAGACTTTAAAACACCACTGGTATAAGTCAAGATGCTTGATTTTGGCCAAAGTTTGATATCATTTGGTAAAGTTTACTTAATTTATACAAATAGCTTGTCTGGCTCCCTATGGGACCAGAGGGGCAAGGTCAAAAAAGCCTAGAATGTAAATGTATGGGTAAATGCATCTTTAGAATAATTTTTTTTTATTTGGACAAAAGGAATTTGAGTTATTTTTTTTTTTTACAAATTTGAAATTTTTACTTGAAATGGTAGTCTTTTATAAGATTTTTCCTTTTGTGATATAAGGTCTAAAACTTCCAAATGTTGACACCAGAATTTATCTAGATCTAAGATAAAAAATAACCCAAAAAACTGTGCATCAAAGCATAAATGTGTACTGTTTTTTATTGAAAATACAGAAGGTCAATAACTTGCATATGGTATCTATACTTTTGTCAGTTTGTAATTGGTCTTTTTTTACACTCTCCTTTGGTGCCTTTTTCATTATAAACTGTCTTTTTCCAGTCCTATTTTGTGACAGACTATGATCCAACAATAGAGGATTCCTACACAAAACAATGTGTAATAGACGAGGTTGTTGCCAGGCTTGACAGTAAGTATCATTAAAGTCTTATTCAGTTATTCAATCCCTTAAAAACTTTAAAAGTATTAGGCACAATATATATGTATGTCAATTTTTGTTTCACTGATCACTCTGAAAAACATACATATATCCGTATTTTGTTACTTTGGTCACTCACTCCCATAGATGCTATAAACCACAGTCAATAGATACAGCCATATACAGTCACTCTCTCCCATAGATGCTATAAACCACAGTCAATAGATACAGCCATATACAGTCACTCTCTCCCATAGATGTTATAAACCACAGTCAATAGATACAGCCATATACAGTCACTCACTCCCATAGATGTTATAAACCACAGCCAATAGATACAGCCATATACAGTCACTCTCTCCCATAGATGTTATAAACCACAGCCAATAGATACAGCCATATACAGTCACTCACTCCCATAGATGTTATAAACCACAGCCAATAGATACAGCCATATACAGTCACTCTCTCCCATAGATGTTATAAACCACAGCCAATAGATACAGCCATATACAGTCACTCTCTCCCATAGATGTTATAAACCACAGCCAATAGATACAGCCATATACAGTCACTCTCTCCCATAGATGTTATAAACCACAGCCTATAGACACAGCCATATACAGTCACTCACTCCCATATATGTTATAAACCACAGCCAATAGATACAGCCATATACAGTCACTCTCTCCCATATATGTTATAAACCACAGCCAATAGATACAGCCATATACAGTCACTCTCTCCCATATATGTTATAAACCACAGTCAATAGATACAGCCATATACAGTCACTCACTCCCATATATGTTATAAACCACAGCCAATAGATACAGCCATATACAGTCACTCACTCCCATAGATGTTATAAACCACAGCCAATAGATACAGCCATATACAGTCACTCTCTCCCATAGATGTTATAAACCACAGTCAATAGATACAGCCATATACAGTCACTCACTCCTAAATGTACTGTAAGCCACAGACAATTGACATACCCATATTTGGTCACTCATTTCCATAAGGACTATAAACAACAGACAATTGACATATCCATATTTGTTCACTCAGTCTCATAGATACTTTAAACCACAGACAATAGACATACCCATATAGTGTATTTAATCACCCAATATAAACTTTAAACATGACACAAAAGAACCCTTTTTTCTCCATGTCTCCTTATATACATGTTAAAACTGGAAAAATGGACATCAAATTAGAAAAGTAATGTTTAGAAATTAAAATTCCCAGTTGAATCATTATTTGTACATGATACATGTATTTGAATATGTGTATTTACACATCTTTAAAACTTAGAACAAATGCTACTATATTGTACCTGAATGTATAGGATTCAGGATGTTATTCATTAATGTGGATTAAGAAATTTCTCTACCAGTACTTGTCAAAGCATCTGTCAATACTTGCAATACTTAAATATCGCAGAGCAATTAATGAGAGTCTTAACATTTCTGTGTTACGATAAGGAAGAACAGTGTACATTGAACCTTTAGTCTCTCCCATGTAAAATAGGCAGTAGTTATGGTAGAGAAACATATACGTAATGACTTACATAGATTTTTGGTGACCACTTAAAATTGTATGAGTTATAATGTGACACTGTATCCTGAACATATTAACTTTCTAGCTGGCTTTCACCATTACAATTAAAGCATAGGAAATGAAAAACTTGACCTGTTGTAACCTAGATGTGTTTTCTTTATAACAATGTACAGTGAAGTGGGTCATATCTTTTATATATATATATATATATATATATATATATATATTGTACTTATGTTGACCATTTGCCAAACATAATCAACAAAACATTTTTTGTAAAACTCGTAGATAAAAATATTGAAATCTGTCTTAAATTTATTTGAAATATTAGATTGTTTTTTACCTTCTTTAGTTACATTAGGTGTAGTTGTGGACTTATATTGTAACTGTGTATCAGATATGATCATGGTTGACATCTTTATATAGCCAGCAATACATTAAATCATTTCAATTAACCAGGAAATTAAAAAAACAAACAAATTTAGATGAAAAGTATGTGATTACTGTTATATCCAAAAATAAATCTGTACTGAAAAGGGATGAATTTGGTTGACACGTGACAATAAACATTGAAGATCTGCTGTCAGTCTTAAAAGTGAAGCTGTACAAGTGCTTGCTTGAAACTTATGTAATTGTTGAAATAGAAAAGAAGAAGGATGACTGCAAAAGCTAGGTAATTATGTCAGCAACTGATTAGGAAACGTATTCCGTAAACCGTTCTCATGCTCAAGCATGAATTTTGTGCTCACGTCTTGTATCTTGTTTTAGATAAAAATGAATAAGAAAGGCTAATTTTGTGAAAGATTTGATAATATTTCATAAGGACTTCAAGCCAAATGCTATATTCAGTGTTTATAGTTGACATTTGTATTATTGGATAACATTTAGGTGAATTATGAAAAAATTATCTTGAGTACAAAATCTATGCTTGAGCATAAGAATGGTTTCATGACTACAGGCCCAGGTGAAAGTAGAATATACTGCTTGGAACCTTTTTTTTAGGAATTTGTATGGATGTGTTACTTTACAGATGTAATGAGTTTCATAAATATTCCTTTGTGCTTTCAGTCCTGGACACAGCAGGTCAGGAGGAATTTAGTGCTATGAGAGAACAGTACATGAGATCTGGTGAAGGTTTTCTGTTAGTTTTCTCAGTAACAGACAAAAGTAGGTAAGTTTTGTCAGTCACAGGCAAAAGTAGGTAAGTTTTGTCAGTCACAGACAAAAGTAGGTAAGTTTTGTCAATCACAGATCAACTGAATAATATTTTTTAGTCACAGACAAAAATAGGTCAGTTTTGAAGTAGAAATGAAGACATGACTTACTTGAATACATGAAAATCATCTGTTTTTGAAGTATTCTTTTTCTTGCTATGAATTTTAGAAGAATACATATATTGATGAATAAGACTTGTTGTGTAAATGCATATTTACTTTTCATTTCAGTTTCAATGAAATCTATAAGTTCCACAAACAGATTCTCCGTGTGAAGGATCGTGAGGAATTTCCTATGATCCTTGTTGCCAACAAAGCTGACCTTGATCATTCTAGAGTGGTGAATATTTTTTTCCTTTCTTGACTATTTTTGGGAATCTCCTCAAACTTGCAAGTATTATAAGTGATTGCAATAAGTCTGTCAGTTGATTGTTGGCACACACAACCTCCAGTGAAGTTCCGAGGTTATGCGGTTTGACACCCTCCAACCCATGGTGGTTTATGTTTCTTAGGAATCTAAGAAATGGACTGATCTGTACTTTCAAGGCTGTGTCCTTTTTGAAGACATTTTACCCTAATTGCTGTTGAAGGCACGAATTTATGTATTGATAACCATTCAATTTTATGTGACAAATTCTTGTTTATTTTCAAGGTCACGGGGGTCAAATTTGTTGAAACCTTAAAATTCCTTTTGATGATGAATCACCATGAATAGAATAATAATATTTAGCTTGCAGAATTCATAATGTGTGCAAAAAAATTAACTTGACAAATATATAAGGTCACAGGGATTTAATTTGTTAAAATCTTCAGAAGACTTCCCATTAACCAAGAGACTTTGAATCTTGATATTTTGCAGGGTACCTGTAGATCTTTGACATAAAACCCATCAACTTTTCTAAAAGAAATGATTTTTACCAATATTCAAGCTCACAGGGATCAAATATTCAATATCTATTCAATGTTACAGATGTCAAATTAAGTAGAACCTCTAAATGATTTCTTCTCATTGACCACAATGCTGAATGTCTATGATGTGTAATGTTAATGTACTAGTAATGTGAAAATCATTGAATACCAGGTGAGCAATGCAGGCCCATTTGGTCTTTTGTTTATAGAAATTTGTTATTTTTGTCTCTGATCCACTGCAGTATTAGTACATCCAGATTAGAAATTGATCAAAGACTGTTATTGTGGTTTAAATTATTACATAGAAATTTATTTCTTTACCAGGTCAGCAGAGAGGAGGGCTCTGAATTAGCAGAACAGTTAGGTATTAATTACATAGAAGCAAGTGCCAAGGTGCGAGTTAACGTGGATCAGGCATTTTATGATCTTGTCAGATTTATTAGGTAAGTTCACTTCTTGTGTTTATAACTAATCCAAGCAAAAATACAAAACAGCCCAGAAAGAGAGGTGATGAAATGTGTTTGTTGTAATCCAAAAATGATCCTTCTTGCATTAAATATTTATTGTTAAGGTTTTCCGAAGTAATCATGACTTTCAATTAACTCAAATTCATACATTTTTTTTTTTACCTTTGGCCCTTTACTAAGTTATTATTATAAGTCCATTTAGAATTAATACAATGCTTTTAGATTCTCATCTGTATTGTGTAAAAAAAAAATAGTATTTGAAGAAATATCAAGCAGAATGATGTACATATTACTTCTTTCTGGTTCAGAAAATTTCAAGCAGAAGAGCGACCGACAGTGAAGCTTGGAGGGGATAGGAAGAGGAAAAAATGTGCAATACTCTGATGGTTTACACAGCTGAGAGTGACTCACTATGATTGGCTAATTCTTTGAAGATGATATATAAGAAGAACAGCGCCGGAGACTTTGTGTGACATGCTCTGATTAGCTGACAATTGGAGGATTGCTTGTAAGATATTCTCTGATAGGCTCATTTACAGAGGATGTTACATTAGGGCGAGCTCGCCAACATGTGAGACTAATGTGATGTTCTCTGATTAGCATATAATTGGAGGATGCCACAATAGGGACCACCCCCTCCCGCCCCTTTTTCCCAAAGACTGATATAAAATTCTCTGATGGCTGTCAGACAGAGAATAGCTTTTAAGTGTCTATCATCAGAGATTAACAACCCGGGCTTCAAAATCTGCCTTCCATTTACCCGGTTCATTGCTTATTACACCTCTAGCAGAAAATCAGGAAACTATTAAAGTACGGTCACGTATATTATGCAGATTATGGTATGACTATTTGTGCTGTGTTTGTCCTTAATATATATAAATCAGTTTTCGAGTAAAAATATGTCATTCTTTAATTTTTAATTATTTTCCTAACAACTGAATTAATCATTTGATTAAAGATTTAATATCACAGAAAAAAAGTCATCATTCATCTTCAATTTTTTAAATCTAATGATTTTCAATGAATTTCAGGGAGGGGGGGTGAAAGGTTTCCAGTTCATTAAATTTTAATTTGATAAATTCAATTGACCAAGAACTGTTTTTCATTTTAATTCTAGTTTTAAGATATTTTGCATGAAATTTCACCAACAAAATGTATTCATAAAATTTATTATTTTAAAGAAATATATCCATGGAAAGCATGAGCTGTATTTCCCGCGGAGAAATCAAAGCAATGTGTATTTTTTCATGTATTTCGTTAAAGAAAAGTTTGTTTTCATTTTCACTGAAGTCGTAACTTCCATACCAAACTAAAGCTTCTGCTAACTTGTATACTAGGTGGTGGATGTTTGGAGACTTCAATGAAGTGTGGTTTTATCTTGCTGAATCAGAATGGAAGATTTAGTAGATATTTGCCATTTATGGTAATGTGAGATTAATGTTTTCATTTTTTCTTTTATTTTTTCAATACATAATATGTTTCTGTTTTATTTAAATGATAGATTTTTGAAAAGCATGTCTTGTAACTTTATAAAAAAAAAAAGAAAAATGTTATTAATTATCTTTTGAGACAATTTTTTATTTGAAATGCAAAATTGTCACTTACTGGTTAGTTTTTCTTTTTGGAACTGCATAAAAGTAATTACCTAGATACGTCATTCAGTCCCAACATTTTGTGTCTGTGTGTCCCGCCCATCCGTGTAACTTTCTGTCCCAATCTTTTTTTTGTGACTGTCTTGTTCATAGACTGCCCCAAATTCTTCTATATAGATATCTTCAAATCATCAAATGGGATGATTTATTCTACATCACTATCTTCTTCGTATACTCATGTGTTTTTCTTCAATCTTTTGTCCCTGTTGTTTAGCCCCAGAACTGTTGTTCCCCGATAAGATATTAAACACTCTATTGTACCAGTGGTTGGAATTTTTGTAACATTATAGTATATTAAGACTGTAAACTTGGTTGTACTTGATCAGAAAGTTCCATGATTTTTCAGAACTATATATATCATGACTAAGAGGAAAACTTAGTCTAAACTTAACCAAATTCAGCATTATTTGAAGTCCTTTATCATTTTGTTCTTGTGTTTGTGTACTGAAGAAAGACACTTAAAAGGTTTTCAGAAAGAAAATTTCATTTTTTCAGTTTATTACCACAGGAATAATGAAATCACATTATCCTATTTTTATAACAAAGATATACTAGCATACTCTATTCCCATTTATTTTTCTACAAAATCAACATATGTGTCTTTTTTTTTCTTTTTTTTTTTTTTTTTTTTTCGCAGTATGACGGTTTTAGTCCTAATGTCACATGTCTTTTATAACAAATTTGGGCTCAAATTGTTTTCATGCGAACATTAGAAGAAATTAACAAAATACAATTTTTTGAAAGTTATCACAAGTGTAATAGACATACAAAATATTTCACAAATGAATGACATTTTGGTCTAGTGATGATAAATTGCATGACTATTTATCAGTTTCTAGTTTTAATTTTGTGTTTTGCTAAATTAAGGTTTTTCTTTGTAAGATATGTTGATATTTTGTTAAACACATTGGATGCTACCTCTTCTTCAGAAAGTGACTTGGAATCTCATAGATATAGGCAAGGGAAGTCTGAAGCACAGTCATTCAAGCTTTTAATATTTGATTCTTAAATGGTAGCAAGTAAATAAAACAGTAAGTAAAAATAGCATCACTAAAGAAAGTCTTATTCTCATCACAACAGTTCATTTTTTTTTTCACATTTGAAGAATGTTTTCCACTGAAGTATCTATCATTCATCCATTAACTAGAAGAAAATCAAAAGCAAAATTACCAAATGTATTATGAAATCAAATTAATATTACTCTGTATGTACCAACCATGTGTAAAGACTGAGGAACATGTGTAAAACCTCTTTCTCCAGTCTGTAGGAATCCTATTTCCCTAACCTTGGACAGGTATATCTACACTTTTTACCTGGGTGAGATTTTCTTGTCTCTTTCTAGGTTGAGAGAAAGGGTTTTCATTTTTATAACTCTGACATCATGTCAACATTGGGAAGCATTGGAACAAAAAAAAACATATACTTCACCAGGCCAGCAGTGCAAGAGAGGAATAATCATTCATTCCCTTATTGGTGAGATCTTGGAATGTCGAAACTTGGGAGAAGATTATTAAGTTGCAAACACAGGGCAAGCCTCATGCTACCTACTTGATCATCTTTCTGCTGGAGTTGAGTACCCACTATCTCATCTCTGAGAGGATAGAAGATTAAATTAAAAATCCTGCCTCGCAACATAAGTTTCACTAAAATGTAAGGCTCCCTCTCTTGATATGTGTATTTGTATTTAAATGATATTATGACACAAAGGTTCACTATAACTGCCCTGATGATATCGCACATGAAGATGTGACTGGATGGGAGACTAGCCTCATGTTGAGGGTGGAGTGCTTTCAGGTGGACATTGTGTTGGGGTATGTGACATTTTTCTTTCGTTCAAGTCATTTAACAGAGAATTATTCTACAATGTTGAATTCCTTACCCAGATATATGGAAAATGCTTTTGTCCTGGTGATGCGACAAAAAATAGTCTGCATTTGATCCCATGACAGTAAGTATTCAGTATCCTTGCCATATGACTGAAAATATTTGTCTTGGTCATGTAACAAGACATATTTTATCTCCTACCATAAGGAATAGAATCATGGATTTCCGAGATATATCATGTTCAATATTTCTGTACCTTACTTCAGAGTTTTGTAACTCAAACCATTGTTTGTCCCATTTTCTTGAGACTGAAAGTTCGGTGTGTGTGAGTTTTTGCTTTGTGTGCTGTATTATTTGTTCCGTGTGTGTGTGTGTGTGTGAGTTTTTGCTTTGCGTGTTTTTCGTTATTTATGATAATTGATTACACCCTATCTAGTCATGGTTTTTATGTTTTCAAATGTTAACAATTGTTTTATTTCCAACGCTTTGACTCAACTGGGTAAACATTCCAGAACTCGGCTTCCTGTAGAAATAGCTGACTATAAATACACGTTAACTCTTTTTTTATTGTTATTTTATTTCAAAACTTTTTGTAAAAACAATTGAACAGGTATTATAAATCTTAATCAAAATTTAATTTTATTTATTAATTATTGGTGATTTTATTTAGAACCAAGGGCCAATTGAACTTTAGCTGCGACACAGAGTCCATCATCATTTCACAGTTTACCCACAGGTCTGTGTGATAAGCTAACTACAAAATCAGTCACAGGAATCTCAGTTCCTGTAATCTTTCTGCAATCAAATGATTTTATCATCCTCAGACTTTCTTTACTGAAATTATAAAGTTTCCTCAAGTGTGAAATAAGCAATGATGATGCTATTCATTTTGAATAGAGATAGCTTAATTGGAAATTAAGTTATCTGTTATTTGGTGTTGTCTAGAATTTTAAATCCTACTTGTTGAAATTATGTGATAGCATAGATTGAAGAAGTCAGGATCCCATTAATGGTGGCCATGTCTTTAGAATTTTTTTTCTATAAGTCCCAAAATCTTTATTTGTTTATCTAACAAAATATTTAGGAGTCCATTTTGTAACTAGTCCTTAGTGCACGACAGAAGATGATTGATTTTGAAAAGTTTTTATTTCTTTGTGAAGTCTATTACTTATGATAACTCCTTCCCGGTGTAAATCTGTATTGCTTTTACTAGCTTCATATCAAGTATAACAGCTTGTACATGTTTTATTCTTGTTGAAAATACAGGAATATGTGTGCACTCAGTGCCACTACTAGTTGTCTCCTGGCATAATTATGATGCTATGAAGAATTAACTATAAAGAACAATCTAATCCTGTTTTGTTTCTTCTCACTGTCCATGTATTGCAAAACATTATCGGACTATATCCTAAAAAAGTTTACTAAAACAAAGTGGAGCTGCATGTTTATACCAGTTAGAAAATATTAGCCAAACTACGTAGCTGAAATCATGATATCTTGTATGCAGCTCGAAATGATAACAACCACTGGCTTAAGTGTTTAAGAGGTTGTATATTTATGTATAATCCAACAAGTCTCAGTTTCCTTCGTTGGTCGGGTATCTGTAACATCAAATGACAAATTGAAATAAGGACCTTGTCGAATGACTGTCAAAAACTGACTCAGTAGTTATTTATTTATGCTTTGACATCTTACCATCTATTAATGAAAAGAGACATTTTCATTTCCTTCAAAAGAACTGAAGGCATTTTTCTGTGATAAGTAATTTCATCTTATTTTATGGTGTGGTCATTTCATCCCAGCAGAATAGTAACACTTAAATCCTTGATTCAGTAATTTGATTTTCTCTTACCCATACATATTGATAACAACTGAGAACAAATCACAGATCTGGATGAAGGACCAGATGTTGTCTTTCTTTATCATAAATCATGGTTAGAGTACCTTTACAAGGGATAGCTCAGTCAGTTAGCATGCTGGCCTACATAACCTCAGGTAAGATCTGAGGTGCTTAGTCTGATCCTTCCTACCTGTGATGGT